TATGAACACATTTCTAACGCACAAATTCATTCACTTTTAAAATGGTCACCTCTTGAATCCAGGCGTAAGAAAAATCTTAATGTATTTGTCTATAAATCAGTCCATAATATGTTATCTCCCAGTATGAATGAAATGTTTCAACCCCCTTCTCATATTTATTCCCTCCGCAATTCCGGTAACTTTGTTCTCCCTAAACCTAGAACTGAATATTGTCGCAGAACTACCCAATACAGAAGCTCGATTCAATATAATACTCTTCCTCCTACCACTAAATTACTTCAAACTGTTCAAACATTCAAAAAGTATTTAAACAATACTATTCCAGACTTCTTGTAGCTGTATCCTTTTTTTTTTTTTTTTTTTTTATTTATTTTTTTTTTAAATAAATAATTTACTTGTCTAGCTTTCTCTCTTGTATAAATATCGTAACTATTTCTCTCATGTTTCTTGTTTTACTCAAATTTGTAATTATTATTGTAAGTTCTTATTTTGCTGTAAGTTTTCCTTACTTTTGTAATAACTATTTTCATGTTTTCTATTTCTATAGGGACCCCTCTGTAAACCAGCATTGTTATGCTAACAACGCTGAGTAGGGCCATCCCTCCGTCTTTCTTTTTTATAAGTGTGTCTTTAATATATATAATTATGTTGATGTATTTTTTTTAAATGACGGAAAATAAATACAATACAATACATACCTTTGGGGCCTATGTGCATTATTATTCCCTCTCTAATAACTTCTTCCAAATTATATTTTCAATATCAAATCAATTATTATAACGAGTATTTATGAGACTCTGGAATAAAAACTGGCTGAGAAAAGGTATTTTGCCTACAATTCCTCGTCACAATAAACAAAATAAGTACGTATTCACTATTCATAAACTATCACATTACGGTATCCTTCAATTTCCTTTTGATTCGACTCTCGAAGAAAAAAACACCCACTGGTTTTTCTTTTAATTTAAAAATCTTTACAGAAATCTACAAATCGTTTGATGATCTACATGATAATGACACTATTTATCAGTTAGTTTTGGAGAATTAATTGATATGTATATATTTCTTTTTGAGCAATTTTAGCCCCAAAACTTGTTTTGGGTTATTCGGGATAAATCTAATGGATCGTGACCGAGACTATGTTCTTGAGCTGCTAGTATCACGATATATCGATATCATGTCTGTCATGGCTTTGTGAAACGGTTTATCCACTTCATGACATCTCCGTAGGTCGCCGACAAAGATATGACTGTCATGGAGTTGGTTTCATGAAACGGGCCCCTGCAATAATCTCATTCACAATTAAAGTCGAAATGGTGCAAAGAAGAGCTGCGAGATTTACTCTGAATCGTCACCATAATACATCAAGTGTCAGCAGTATGCTGAAAGAACTTGATTAGACCACTCTACAAGAGCGCAGAGAAAAGGACAGACTAACTATGATGTATAATATACACATCAATCTCGCTCATCTTCCGGCTCAGGACTATATCATACAAGTCACCCAGTCGACGAGAGCCACCCAACCACATTCCTATCAGATGCCATGCGTACTAAAGAACTAATTCGCATCGGCATCTTTCCGAGAACAGTAAGGAGTTGGAATTCCCTGCCCTCAGAAATTGTTGCAGCGCCATCTTTTGGAGCCTTCCGTAGTCAAGTGCAGACGGTTAATGACAGTGGCTAGTCTTCCTTCATCCTATACATGAACTTGTAAATATTTGTAAATATACTGTATTATATTGTATGTAGCACTCGAATGGACGTAAATTGCGGTTCACACACAATAGTTTGCAAGAATCTTCAGTCAATTGAAGGAGGCAGACTTAATCAGAAGAAGAAGAAGAAAAGCTCGTGAGAGAGATTAGGGGAAGAGAGAGAGAGAGAGAGAGGAAGTGAGGGAGAAAGCGTTAGTGAGAGAAAGGGAAGAGATGAGGGGGGGGGGGTCTGACACAGTGGATTGATTTGAAAAGAAAACCTTATCCCGAGATAAAGAAGCTGAAAAGAAAAAAAAACATGTAACAGCGGCGTATAGCTACGAGAGCATAGATGTTGCCGTTTATCTATCTAGTAAGGCCGTGCGTGTGCCCCCCCCCCCTCCCCCACGAAGCACGTGTCCCCTCGATGACTGCATCCACGCTATATACGCCATTGAACTGCAGACCGAGAGAGAGAGAGAGAGAGAGGAAAAAGGGAGAAGGAAAAAGAGAGACAACAAACCCCGGCCCCCAGTCAGTGTTATTTCAGTACGCATATGCGTGTTCCCTCCTTTTGAAAACACCCTCTAAGTCCGGTGTGTAAAGTCAATTTTGTGTATGTACGAGCCGGACTTTTGTGCGTGAAAAGTACCCCTTTACCGGACATTTTGGTAACACGCATGCGGTCCGATTCCGACCCCGGAGTGGGGGGGGGGGGGGCAACAAACAGAACTTTGTTATTCCTGGCTCATTTTTCTTCATTGAGGTGTCATATGAAAGGGCAGAAAATAAACTTTCTAGAAATGTGATTTTCTCTTTCAAATTCTCTTTCAAATTCAGATACCGCCCGCCAAATGTCTTTTTGGTACCCTTCTAGCTTCAAATTATTTTTAATAACTCATGCGTGAAATACGCATCACATGAGTTGCATCAAAATAAGAGGAGGATCTAAGCTTTACAAATATGTGTCATTTATTAATTATAATTGTGATCAAGTTGTGATAAAACATCGATAATTTTCGGTTTCGTTTTTACATGGAACGCACTGTATAGGAAGTATGCAATAATTATTATAATTACTGAACTAGAGTTAATGCTTAAAGATAAACTTGAGTACTGGTAATGCGATTGCATTGTGAAAGAAAGGTGTGGAATGGATCAGAAAAGTTGATCATAATAGCATGTAAGTAATGGTGTGTAATGCAAGGTTCTAGAGTCATCAAAATCATCATAAATTTGGCAGAGTCTTGGTAAAGTAACAATCACTTACACAGATAGATGTATATGGGACAACACACATGGTGTCGGGGCTAGTACTACCCTGATTTCCTTATCTTTCTATGCTCATTACTCAGCCAGTATACATTTTCTTCCAAAATTGTTTGGCACATGACATTTATTTGTAATCTTGAACATTCAGTGTAAGTTTCGTTAGATTCTGTGAGAATTCATCTTCTTTTTTTTACCAGAACTCAAGTTTATCTTTAAAACCCCCTTCACATACACGGATTTTTCTTACGAGTCCTTACGGATCGCCAACTCGTAGCCAATCGCAAGCATCCGTAAATAACTCGCTGGTACCCGTAAATAACTTGTCACAACTCTCAACAACTCGTAGACACTCTTAAGGACCCGTGAAAAGAGCGGTAAATTTTTTGACATGTAAAAAATCTTCTTACGAGTGTCGACGGATTGATTTGTCCGTAATTAGCTCGTAAATAGCTCGTAACAATACGTAACCATCCGTAAACCGCTCGCAACAACACGTAAACATTCCGTAAACTGCTCACAAGAATCCGTTGGTGACTCGTAACAGATTTTTGTAATGATTCGTTACGGTTAGTTTACGATTTGTTCACGGATTATTTACGGGTTATTACGAGCATTTTGGGTGTAGTTACAAGTACTTTACGAATAGATACGTACACTTTACGTATGCTTGCGAACTGTTTACGATTTGGGGAAAGGTATAAAAGCTGCAAATTCGAACACTTCATTTTCGGTTGTTATGTTTTGGCTAAAAGTCGTAATAAAGGACCCCTACATACTCGTAACTTACTCGTAACAATTCGTAATAACTCTTAAACAGGTCGTAAAAGTGGCCAAATCGTAAGGATCCGTGAAAGATCCGTGAATTTGTGCGATAAGAACTCGTAAGACAAATCCGTGTATGTGAAGGGGGTATAACGTAAGAGGTTGTATCATAGGAAATACTGATTGATGCCATCTACGTCTTTTTTTTTGACAACTGCACGTAAACGAATGGACTTGATTAACTGGGTCAGCGAGAGCTAGTGTTCGCGAAACAGACCGAAGTTCGATCATCCCCAAGTGGGCCTCGGGAAAGACGCATACAGTCTCGTCATGCTAAAGCCCCTTTAACGTATGATGGAGATATCACCAACGCGCTGAGCGCATACGTAATTATATGCTCTTCGTTTCGGACAGAAATTAGAATCTGAAGGTTTCGAAATAAAAGAAAAATTAATTTGTCTGGCGTTTCCCTCGTTGTTTGGGAACCGTATTTTTTTAATTTGACCGGTTCGAATATAAATATCTCCTCAGTGCTTTCATGGCATCTATCCCGTTACTGTAAACGTAATAGCCTAAAGGCCCGGTCCCACTGCACTTACGGATGCAAAGAGGATGTAAAACGTAAACAAAATCTTGCCATCCGTTAGAAAACGCTATGCATCCGTTGTGTACTCATTGCATACGTGTTTCATACGCTCTATCCATCGAGCATCCGTCCACTGTGATTTCGTCCGCGCAAAAAGTTTTGAGCTACACAAAACGTTTAGAACGGATGAACTTCCGCCGGGTACGATGTAAATCCGCGACAAATACGTTATCATCCGTTAAACGTCCGCTGTATCCTCTCTGCATCCTCTGGGCATCCTCGCGACTCACATCCTCACATTATGCATCATGTTGAGTCGGGTGGCTAGCAAATAATAAGTGTTAATGTGCAATAAACCAAGCTCCCAATTAAGCATTGAATTTGCTCACAAGGGATCTCATTCGTATCATTTGAATGGAGCATTGTGTCAGGTTCGCGGACAATGCCAAATGTAAGCATGACATCATACCAGTATCAATGTAACACGAAACGAGTCAAGTGTATTTTAATACCTTTCAAGGGCTTGTGACGAACGTTTTACACCTTTCATTGCATTTTGAGGAAGCTGGCCATTAAAAAAAATAGTACTCCGTTTCGACTTACAACGACTTACATTGTCATTGCGAGACAAACGAATGTCACTATAGCGATATTATTTTCGATATCAACGTTCTTGTGTACAGGAAGCAGAGGTAAGAGGAACAATATCTTAGATGAGCCTCGTTGTATGCTATGGTGGATATCCTTCATCGAATCATGTCTGTGTCTATGCAGATGTTGGCCATCTTGGTGTTGATTATCAGCCTTTACAGAGATACTTGGCAAGGTAAAACACGCATTGATGCGAGATCTTATACCGCACTCACTTCGATTCCGTTAGCTGGTATTACCTTTTTGGAATAGGATCCTTCATCGTGTTCATGTCTCCATTTCCTGTTCTTTACTGTTTCCTTGAACAATTAACTACAAGCAAATCAGACTGACCTAGGGTATGTTATGTAGGCTGAATGTGTCTTGGAGGTGGCTATATTGTTGAAATGTCGTGTTGTTCATTCACTTGACTCTCACTCCAAGGGTTAAGGGTTCGAATCCCAGTCGGGCACTTATTTCCTTTGGCAAGATTATTAATCCGCATTTGCTACTCTCCATTCAGATGTAAATGGGTACCTGACAGTTACTGGGATAATTTTATTACAGCAAGAACAGCATGATGCTGATGGGGCTTCCCTGGGGAAACAGAATTACCATAATTGTTCTAATTATTATTATTATTATTGTTATTGTTATTATTATTATTATTGCCATGCCTATGTATGTATATTATTCTAAATATGTATTATTGTTGGTATTGTTGTCATGTGACATGGTAACTCAAATATCTACACGTACTATACACGCCATATACCATACATAAACACCCTCACTTAGGGGGGAAAACACATACACAGTCCTTGCTGTAAACAAAGACAATGAATTAACCTTTAGGGTTACACTTCAAATATAACATCGAAATCAGATTTTCAAATCAAGGTTAGTACCTCCTACTCCTCTCCTCCTTTGACTCTCTAGAACTTGGTCCTGTAATTGACCTACATCCCCCACACTTCTCTAGCTTCCCTTTTTATGTCACACGACTGGAATTAAACTAACTTTCACAGTCGAGAACAAAAAAAAAATTCTCTTTCCCTTTCCATACTTAGATGGAAGCCACTAAATTACACTTATTTATTTCTAAATAGTTCAAAATAAATGGCATATCTTCATTTCCCTGACATTTTGAATATCATCGTACAAGAACAAATAACCAAGTGATACAATGTAAGATGATATATTTTAATTGGATACCGATGGTTGCAGTATTCAAAAACTACAACAATTATCAGCCACTTCTGCTAGGCCGAATCAAAACCGTCTGTCTCTTGACTTTTAAAGAAACTCAACAACTTCTGCCCAGTAAGAACATCATATGAAAATCAGCAATGTCTGCAGAGCAGAACCAAATCCCGTATGCCTCTTGGCTTCAAAATTGAGGTGTGGCAAAGTCTGAGGCTGTACTCACCCCCAAACCTTTGCACGTTTTGAACAGAACATAAAAAGGTGCATAGTCATACCTTCCTTTTTATCAACATAATACTGGGCCAGCACAATAATCCCTGGCATAGCTTAATTAATTAACTCTATACCATCAATGGAACTTTCCAGACCTTCACTCTCACCATTTCTTCACCTCAACATTCAGTGCCAACCTACATAATACTCCTCTCTCTCCCGATTGAGATACAAAGACACACAAAAAATATACATATATTTATGAGCATTTTCAAAGTGACATTTTAAACAAAACTGACATCATTTAACTTGAAATGCACGAAACAAAATTAATTGATTAAACTAAGCAAAACTGTTCATTTGTATTTTCAATCATTTCAATAGTTTGCACGATTTCAAGATTCTTTTATCATAATTTTGTTCTCCAATTTATTAAAGCTCTTCAAGAAAATCAAATTAAATTATGATATTTTTCTTACAAAACTAACAAACATCTTTATCAAGTATATATATATTATGCATAATTTATAAACATGAATATCACAAACAAAATAAACATGAAGGAAGACGATATAAGAAAACAATTTTGTTGTTATCTACTTTTAAAATTATATAAACTTTAGAAAATATGATATTCCTCCCTAGAAGAGGCGTAGGAATTTATGATACAATATTTATAAGTAATGTTATTATATTAATATTCAGTCAATGGGCAGATATGTAATACTCCAGACTGGATAGACTATGGTGATTCACAGTACCTCATCGTTAACACTCAGAGGACGTGGTCTGATGCGAGGACCTACTGCCAAGACAACGGTGGAGATCTTGCAGTTATAAGTTCCCATGAACAAACTGTAAGTGAAAACAAAATTACCAAAATGAATTCACCGATAAGATTTTTACTACTATTTCCTATTTTCTCCATCCCATGATTATCAGTTAAAGACAAACTGTTACATCTTAATAGAAAAATGCGTAAGATTTTTTTATTTGTTTTAATTATTTATTTATTTATCTATTTATTTATTTAAACCACTTTTACCAGTTACCTTTTCTTTGTGAAATGTGTGTTCCACTTTTCTTTTGTTGGGGAGTAAATTTATTTCATTTTGCATGGGTGTAACATGATGGTAAAAACCATATAATCCCTGACCTCTTATCATAGTGTGTACCCTAGGTAGATAAATATGGTTACTGCAGATCATTTTTTTATGAAGTGAAGTGTGATTTCACTGTACTTTTTTTCTTCTATTCTACGATTTGCTGAATGCTCAATCCACTAATTCAAAATGTGACTATTTAATAGATTGCGCCTGTTTTTAGAAATAGTTGACACTTTTTTCACGAAAAAAGTGATTGATGCACACAAAAAAAGATTAAGGATACTCCATTAATAACTTTTCTTTTTAACAATGACTTTTTGTTTTACATCTCAGGCTTTTCTCGTCACCTACACGTTGAAATCTACTGATGGATGGAACTACTGGATAGGACTTCATGACTCAGACGGTGATGGACAGTTCACGTGGATTGACGACACACAACCACAGTTAATATTTAACAATAATAATGATAATGATAGTTATAAAAATACAATGTTGAAAACCAGTTTTTTGTTCACCTCTTGTCATTAATTTATTATTAGAATATGATTTATTCGTGATGGATAAGGTATGGATATATCATATCAGAACACTACTGATCAATCTAAAGCGCCAAACAGATTGATCAATTGAATTCTTAGATAACTTTATCCGTAAAAAATAAACTTTATAGTCAGAATCATTTTTCACGAAAATAGAAACGAAGAAATTATCACAATTTTTGGTGCGACATTGTAATGACAACATCAATAATAATTATAATAATCATGATAATAATAATTGTAATAATGATAAGGACGATAATAATATTTTTGATAATCATGATGGAATGATATTTGTATAATCATAACAGAAAAACAATATTGGCTGGTTAAAGGGTCAGATAATAGCGCATTTACTATTCAAGTCTGACCTCAATAGAAACAACAACAATTATCTATAATGATAATGATAATGGTGGCAATCATGAAAGTATGCAGCTTTGTTTTGTCTTGTCCTGTCATGAATTGTTTTGTCATGTTTTGTCTGATCTTATAATGTCAGTTTCCTGTCCTTTGTGTCCCGTCTTGTCATTTTGTTCTTTCGTATATCTCGATTACTTAGACACTTTAAAATGATTTATGAAAATGGTGTTCATATCATATTATTCTTGGGAACCTACACAAAACAAGCTATGCTTTCCAGTTTGTTCCCGTTTAATTTTATAATTTTGAACTTACTTTGTCAACTAGTTTCTTTGGAAACAATTGATATGAAATGGAATAAATTCGAATCGATCAATCATAAGGGTTGTTTATGAAGATGATGATTGCAATGATAATAATTTTAGGTTTCAAGCTGACCTATTAGACAAACAGTGGCATGATAGTCCTAGACAGCACCTTTACTATTTGCCAATTATGTTTATAGTTAGACTCCTTTTGTTTATTCTCAAGATTGCACCTTTTTTCAGTAGTCATATCCAAAAAGTTTCTAGATGTATTCATTATCACACAACATCTGTGAAAATTATTTCGCTTTTCCCTATCTCGACTTTCAATATGAGAACCTTTTTCCGATGAAATGTATTTTTCGGTGGATATAAAAGTAAAGGAATAAACTCGATATTTTAAAATACCTTTATTTCATTTGATAGGTACTCGAACTGGTCCCCTTCACAACCGTCAAGTAGCCATGAATGTGTCCGCATGAGAACTTCATACAGCGTTGTAAATCAAGGGAAATGGCAAACAAGTTCCTGCTCAAATACCCGCGTCCACATATGTCAACGTCCAAAAGGCAATTATATTAATATTTATTTGGCCAATGCAACGGTAACCTCAGCGGTGATCGACATCTTCTTCTAATACATTTATCATTGATGTTGCTCGGCCATTGGAAATTGTTTTGACCACCATTCTAATGCAATTATAAGGAATGAATTAATATGAAATAAATGTCTAAATGCATAAATAAATAAATGAATAAATAAATTAATTAATTAATTAATCAATGAAATATAAAATAAACCAACAGCAAAACTAAACAAGGCAAATAATTGTAGTTGTAATATATGAAATGAGAAAATTGGACTCAACCTGTGTCATTTTTACATCGTCAGATTCCCGTTGTTCGTGGCATCGTTTCGGCCAATCGTTATATCGGTTCTACGGAGAAGGAATGTCGTATGATGATTCTAGAGCACACTGCGGGAGCAATGGTGGTGACCTGGCCATTATCAAATCAGAAGAACTTAATGTAAGAGAATATAAGCTTACACTTTCACATTTATTTAAACCTATCATTCATTTGTTTCTTTGTAATGGAACATACAGTCACGACACTGGGGCACTTTCTTTAGCCGTAGGTAATACAACTCATAATATGATAATGTTTAAGTCAAGATTTTACAAATTATTTATATTGGAACTGAGCTTTTAGCCTGGATTCAAATGATTGAAAATGAATATTGAGAAGATTTTTAGAATAGAGCATATCATTTTATGATAGCCCGGAATTGTTACTCATAATTCATATGTAAAATGTAAACGGCTTTTTCAACAAAAAATCCAGTGAAGGTAAAACTAGGTGGGAAATACTGACCATTGGTAACTTGTATAATATAATTTTCAGACGAGAGGAAAAAATAAATTGTTGAGTAAGTTTAGTTTGTTTGTGTTTGTCTATTTTACCCACCCTTTTCAAGAGTTTCCTGGTAGGATTCATATCAACGTCGAACCCGTCGGGAGCTTGCTATTGGTTAGGACTTATGAGAGACAGTGATGGCAGTTTTGTATGGGTAGATGGCACTGCGGAAAGGTGATTTCATATCATTCTCTTTGAATTTTCATTCGAATTTCTCCTTTTGTGTTTTTTGTTTTTTATACTTTTTGCGTGCTAGAGATAGAAGGAAACTTAACACTGTCCAGAATCGTGCCGTTAGATAAGTTTTTGGTCTTGGGTCTAGAACTCGCCCTTACTTATGGAACTCCACTGGTTACCTCTAAATCAAAGTGCTCTGTGTGTATGCTTTCAAAATACTCAATCATTTGTTACCTAAATATCTTAATGACACTCTCCAAATATATATACCATCTCGAAGTCTTCGCTCAAAAACCGACACATCTAAACTTATCATTCCCAAATCTCGACTTTCAGCAGCTGAAAAACGTTTTGCAGTAGCCGCATCAAAGACTTGGAACAACATTCCGCTTTCTATAGGGGAAATTACATGTCTTGCCACTTTAAAAAGATTCCCTCAAAACTTACCCTTTTCCCAAATGATCCATGTGATCTTCTGTAACACTGTAGAATGGTTTTCCTTTTTTCATTTATTTGTATTTGTAAGCGCTATAGTACTTTTGCTTTTTAGCGCTCCTAAAAATCCAATATTATTAATATAGGGTTTTGAATATGAATTATAATGCATTTCCACATAGCAATGGTCCTTTCATAGATCTTTTTTGCAATATAAACCTTATTCCCGTTCATATTACGTAGAACACCAGTGTCCCGATGTGTTTAGAATAATTCCTTGTAATACTTAACGATGATTTGTTTTTTTCTCACTTTGCAAATCAACCTTTTGGTATAACAGAAGAAACGAGTCTTCCTGGGCTTCAGGAGAACCAAACGATTCCGGTGGGTGGGAAGACTGCGCCTGCATGAACTCTTTCGTGGAAGTAACAGATGAACGTCATGGGAGATGGACTGATCTCCGGTGTTGGAATGTTCAAAGACCATACATCTGTGAGAGGCCTCAGGGTAGGTGTGCTCTGTATTGTAAGATCCATGTTTTCATTGAATAATACAGTGTAATTCGATACAAATTTTCAAAAGGAGACTTGAAAGCTTTCTTCTGAATAGTGACTAGGCTATTGCATTTCCCAATCAAATATAATTTGTAGTGTGACTTTATTCAACTTTGTTGTTTGTGTAACTTTATTTGTTTCTTTTTATGTATGTATTTATTATTGTTTTGCTTTTAAATTTTGTTTTTGTATTACTGAATCAGTTATTGTTGTTTGTTTTTCTTTTCTCAAAAAATAATAATTCATAATAATTACTTTTACAGAGGGCCTACACCCTACAAGCTCTGCTTTTTAGTCGGCACTCCTAAGTTCCTTTTCAATTGCATGTTTAAAAAAAATGTATTTGTATTGTGTAAATTGATCGATATGTATAATAATATGTGAATATGTAAAAAATGTACTATCATTTTAAATATGAAAAATTGAAAGAGGAATAATAAGTTAATTGAATTGAATAATTTGTGCAATACATGCGGAGGGATATTAAGCTCACTGAATGTTTTTTTGTTTCCTAAAAATGTATACTGGTGAATGGTTTAGATGTTAATGTTTTAATTTTTGTTTTAATTTTCATGACAAAATTAATGACCTCGATGCACCCTTAAAAAGGGACGGCTTTTAATTAATATCAATGTGCAGCGTTATATGACAACTTAATTTTTTAAATAGATAATATTATTATATCTAACACATTTAAAGGCTTCCTTCAACTTCAATGGATATAGATATCGCTTTTTTCGTTTCAGTTAAGAGTGACGTGTGGATTGATTATCCAAATGTGCAGTATTATATGCCACCCTTCTCAGCAAGTTATTTTGATGCTAAGGAACACTGCCAAAAATTTGGAGGATCACTGGCTCAACTGAAGACCTCAGAAATAGACGTGAGTGTACTAAACAATCCTTCCGTGTTTGTATTTACTGGACGGTGGTATTGTGTAAATGAATATCAATGTATGATTTTCCAATTAATAAAGAGGATAGCAGTTTTAGGACTGGTTCTAGTAAAGTAAAATACAAAAATCTGTATCTTGTCATCGTGTATTAAGGCATTTATGCACTCTAACTGTTTATAATGAGGTAACTTTCTTCAAAAACTTATCTTCTTTCACATCATCCAACTCCTTGAGCGAATATCATAATTTCTCTTTTCCATATTTGTATAGCACCTTCTTACGTTCAGGTATGCTTAATCAATCCTAATGATGTACATGAGCATCATACAAGGCAAATAGACAGTGGATGTTTACGTGTGCCTAGATTTCACACCGATTGTTATAAGTGTAGCCCAATTGTTTCTTCCATATTTGAATGGAATAAGGTAGATAATTCGTTGAGAACGGCTTCCTCTGTCAATTCATTTACGAGATTGTATAAACAAAGTTGTAATTTGTGAATGGCTCAACCGAACATACACTACGTGCATGTTCTGTAATATTAACATGACTTATTCACATAATTTTGACTTAATCAATGTTTTTCCTATTGACATTACTGTTTACTAGGTTAATGATATATGTTTATTTTGCAGATGAGTATTATTTTTTAAACTGTTTTGTATAAACGTTATAAACGATGTAATTATGTTCATGTTTATTCAGGGCCCCATGGAAGACCACTACTTGTTGGTGAATGGGCTACTCTGTAAAAAGATTAGAAATAAATAAATAAATAAATAAATAGTGTGTTTTGATGATGAAATACGATTCTCAAAAAAATAATGTATCTTTATGCTTGCTCAATGCATCCGCTCACGAAATGTGAAACGGGGCAGTTTAAATTCAGGCAACAGGCATGACCCCCCCCCCTCCCACCCCTCACCCCACCCCCTTCCTGAGTGCCTATGACCCGAATGCCCATGACAAGGCTTCACTAAAAGAGTCCTCATGCTCCGTTTTGTATCTTACAAACTAGGCTACGCCAGTTTAAACGCTTAGAACAATGCTTATTTCATTTGAGAGATTAGAGGTCACCAATTAAACTGACCATTCAACCTGTCCAGCCCTCTACATAGTTGAACATATTAAAGAATATTAAAACAAAATACGTAGGCTTTCTTTGAATTTGTATGAATGTCGGGGCGGGATGCGAAGAGTTGTAGGAATATGTAATTTGTATACATTTTCTAGTGTACTTTGTTCAAGGAAATATTATTTTCAATATCAAATTGTCCTCTTACTATTCCTTTGGTCATCATGGTCATTTGCTTCACTCGCCTTTGCAGGATTTAGGAACTATAAAGTTTACATTCAGGCAAGATATCACGTGGTATGACCAATCTTATGAAGCCATGTTTCTTTTGTCACCATAATCAGCTAAATCTCACAAACAGCTTCAACGGGATCGAGTTCTGGTTCGGGCTTGATTCACTTGGCAAGGAAGGTGTCTTCCAATGGGCGGATGGAACTTTGCTCCGAAACTCAAGGTATTTACATTAAAAATGAAATAATTTTAAATGGGACGTCCCCGTACCTAGTATTAAGTCGATTTCAATAGAAGCAGAAATATGAAAGAAGCTATGATTCCTTAAATGTGAAATCAGTCAAGAACGAATTACTAACTCTGTGACGTGTCTTGCGAGCTCCCCTTTCATTTGTGCCCAGAAGATACTTTAATCATCTATATTTTCCCCAAAGAAAATGTTCAATCATGAATTCACCCTCAATATGACTTTTCCAAATAAGAGTTTTATACAACCCATATACTAAACAAATCTTTTACGTCATAAATAACTAAGAACATGAAATTCTCCATACATGGCATATTGGTGAGGAGTTCAATTTTTGTTTCATTGATGATAACTTCAATACTTCTAAAATTTCATATTTTTAATCGCATTTTGCTCAAATACTTTTTAGCTAATTTGTTTTTTTTCAATTTGCTTTTATCAAAACCAACTTATTGTTTATTTAAAAGAGATGAAGATAAAAAAAAAAAAGAGATGAATTGTGAGAAAAAGGGGGGAGAGAGTGTGAGGGGGAAGAGAGGTAGACGGGAAAGAGAGAGAGAGAGAGAGAGAGAAATATAGAGAGAAAGAGTGTGGGTGAGAGTGAGAGAGAGAGAGAGAGAGATAATTAGAGCAAGGAGTTTTAAGAGCTGGAGAGCCAACTGGCAAAAAATTATTCCAAGCAAGCAGCTGCCGTTTTCTATGGTTGCAGAATAGAATCTACTGGTGTGCTGTTACCTTTGATGTTCGAGGTTCGAAGCCGCGAATATCATTGGAAAGCTTGAGTAGTAATATTTTTTTTTACAAAGAAATATCCTTAATAGCTTTAATTTGTGAAAAATAGTAACATTTTATAGTTCTCAAACCTGCAATATGACACTTTTCCGATTACTTCCGGCTCACGAACATAATAAATGAATTTATTCATGTACAGTTCGTTATCATGTTATAATATGTCCAGGATACAGCTTCCTGATATGTCAGATTAGTGCCCACACATGCCCAGTCGTGTAATTTTGATTAATATTTCAGGAAATTTTGCTCCATTTCCTTTCGCTTGCCTCCTGTAAAGGTTAGCACTGTACTGCTCGTATCATCAGACGAGTGGTAGCAAAAAGTAATTATCATTACAAAAGCATATTTCCCTTTGAAAGTGGCCGTTAGTATGCAGCTAGGCAGGAATCTTTTGTCTACGTGTCTGCAAGGAAGATCCAGTAAACACATGCCTGACATATTTTATCCTGGCGGCATCGAAGAGGGTACAAAGGGAATGAACTAGATATGACTTCATCTCCTAAAACCCCTTGGTTAGAGGGAAATAGAGAGAGAGATAAAGAGAGAGAGAGAGAGCGAGAGGGCCGAGGGGGGCAGTGGATTGGTAAAGATGTTTTTCTTGCTCTATAAATACATCCTAGAAAATGAAAAGAAATAAATGTACATTGACCAACTATAATTAAACACACTTGCAATTCCTTTCTTTGTTTAAAGGTTTACCATGTGGATGTCGGGTAAACCGAATAACTTAGAAGGGTACCAGTTTTGTGTAGCACGCTTAATTGACGGCTGGGATGATCAGTTTTGCAATGTACTACGTAGATTTGTCTGCGAGATATCAAAGGGTTTGTATGCTATTATAATACAAATCGCGTAAAACTTTACATTAATTAACAGGAAAAAGAACCGATTGATATATCATGAGTCAAAGGAATGTTTTGAGCAATGATTTCAAGTTAAGTTCTTTAAATTGGTGTATAGAGTCACGACAAACTTAAGCAATGTCACAATTACGGTTAAGGAAAGAGGTTTTACCCCCACAGCAGTTAGAAATACATTTTTATTTTTATTTTCTAATCGACAGAACGTTGTAAAGTTTCTGAAAATAATATTATAGCATTTGTAAAAAATTGAAAGCGTCAGGTTTGTTAAAACTCCAATGAATGAATTGAAAACTTCATCGTACAAACAAATTTTGACTTTAAAATATTTCTCTGTTTCGAAAAGGGTGCCCCCCAGGAAAATGGAATGTGCCTATCTGTGATCGTCTGTGTGATAACTGTTATAACGGAGGAGTGTGTAACCCACATACAGGAGCATGCATCTGTACTCATGGGTTTACTGGTAAAAACTGCCTTACAGGTAAGTCGTTATAATTATAGATTCACTTTGATATGTTCAGGGGCATCGGGCCATGGTTTAAAGGGGGCACCAACAAAACTAAGCTTTGTTATGATACTTGTTCAGTCTTGTTCAGCGTGCTATAGTAACGCATTATACACTGTTGGTCATAATAAATTATAAATAAATCATTGCATTTTGCCCCGACCCCTAACATTAAAAAAAAATCCTCTATATGGGCATGTCTTTAACCATAATGCATGGCCCTACAGAGGAATTTTTCCTACTGGGGACCGGGGGGAAATGCAATGATTTTTTAATAATTTTTTTATACATTTTCTTTGTATTTTTGTATTTGTGGGGGCGGCGACGTACCCTAGCCCCCAATGCGTACAGTCATGATTCAGTGGCTAAGCAGTGGCCTCGTTACTGTGAGGCCCCAGAATAAAAACCGTGTCGATTAGCTTTATTAGTGCCCTTTTGTGAGGCATTAATCATCCTCATTACTGTCAATTATGACTTAAGGATGTAGGTCCCCTGGTTGATTAGCATAGTTGCACACACATGCTTTAGCAGTCACGCAAAACAAACACTCGAAAATTATTGTTCAATCAAATCTGAGAATGTTTACTATTATCTAGAGCTATTAGTTATAAATCATTGTCAAATTCATTCTATAAATTGGGGTAAAAATAATTATTCCACCTTTATGACCAACAGTGTATCTACATCTATCCGGCATCATAAATGAATAAACCTGTGTATTATCATATTGATTGGTGTTACTATTCAGCTATTTGTTGTAGATAGGAAACCAGCGTTCTTCCCTTTAACTATCTTTCTTAGTAGCAAATCACTCCCTCCCTTTTATGTTGATATTTTAGTTAACCATATTTATGTTATTAATAACATTAATAATGCATTAAAGAGAAGGTTGGGCAAAAATAATTTCCATTTTCGGTTTAACTTAATAAAATTTGGAGTGGACTTTAATTGAGATTATTATTATGATTATTATTATTAACACAAAATTGTAAGCGTTTTCATTGTTATTATACAAGTGCGGAAGAACATCAGATAAAAAATGTTTCCTGAAAAGCATGGTTCTTCAAATGCCTTCATATTCTAAATATGACATGTAACAGCTTTAAAATGTGAGCCTCATTATTGTACCACATGTTTGTGCAGTCCCATATTCATCTTTCTGTTTACAGTGCTTGTTACATTTACCAAGACTGGGCTAAATTTCTTATCATTTTGATGATTCGAAAACCTTGCAGTACACGCCAATACTTACACTGTTGCTCATAACGGTGGAATATTTTTTTTTATCCCAATTTATGGAATTATTTTAAAAATAATTTAAAAATACTAGATCTAGATAATAGTATACAGTCTCAGATTTTATTGAATAATAATTTGCCAATATGTGTTTTGCGTGACTGCTAAAGCATGTATATTATGCTACTATGTTTATCAACTAGGGGACCTATGCCCTTAAGTCATAAATGACAGTAATGAGGATTAATGCCTCACAAAAGGGCACTAATATAGCACATCGACACGGTGTTGATCCTGAGGCCTCACAGTTACGAGGCCATTGCTTTGTCACTGAACCATGACTGTACGTAGCGGGGGCTAGGGTAGGGGGCAGTTTCCATAAATTAAAAAAATAAACAGAAAATGCAATAAATATTCAATAATTTATTGCATTTTACCCCGGTCCCCAACATTAAAAAATCCTCTGGACGGCCATGCATTATGGCTCAATGCATGGGCACACAGAAGATTTTGTTATGTTGGGGACCGGGGTAGAATGCAATAAATTATTGAAAATTTATTGCATTTTCTGTTTTTTTTTTAATTTATGGAAACTGTCCCCTACCCTAGCCCCTGCTACGTACAGTCATGGTTCAGTGACAAAGCAATGGCCTCGTAACTGTGAGGCCCCAGGATCAACACCGTGTCGATGTGCTATATTAGTGCCCTTTTGTGAGGCATTAATCCTCATTACTGTCATTTATGACTTAAGGGCATAGGTCCCCTAGTTGATAAACATAGTAGCATAATATACATGCTTTAGCAGTCACGCAAAACACATATTGGCAAATTATTATTCAATAAAATCTGAGACTGTATACTATTATCTAGATCTAGTATTTTTAAATTATTTTTAAAATAATTCCATAAATTGGGATAAAAAAAAATATTCCACCGTTATGAGCAACAGTGTATATGCTAGATGATCAACTTTTTGTGATCGATTCCACACTGTTCCGTTCACAATTAAATCGCATGACCAGAATTAAACTTTATCTTTAAGTGTGTAACTTAATTTCGTTCCAATGTTACAAAATTTGCATATTTCCTATTCAAATGTCAATAGTGTAAATAGTACCATTCATCTACCATTGGTGATTATGCAAATGAGCGTCCAAAAGATTATTATTAGGTTGAATGGTATTTCACTGGTAGATGAATGGTGCCCAATGGTACGTTGCGAGCGTAATTTAAATGGTATCCGAATGGTATTTAAATGGTGTTTGTGAATGGTATCCGTATGTTATTTTCAGTGGTACTTCTGAATGGTATACCATTGGTATACCATTGAACTTTTTTTTTGTAAGGGCTATAATGCAAAAATAGTATCAAATGTAAATCACTCCAATGTAAATGTCATATTAATGCACATGAGTTTGTATGCTTCAAAGATAATCAATTTTCAATTATCAATAACAGCATGTGGCGACCAAAGGTTTGGGTCTGAGTGTGAACTTGTATGCGGTTCTGCGATAGCTGATGATTCTTCTTGCAGCGATAACAAGTTTTGCCTTCCAGGTCCAAATGATTGCAGCTGCATAGCTGGCTACACAGGAGCATTCTGTAATGAAGGTAAGGTAGCACAGTGTATTGTTTTGAAAGTAATCCAGTATGAAAGTGAGATATATTTTATATGGGTTGTTGAATAACACTATGATAACAGTCAGTAGCATTGCTACCAGGGGGGGGGGGGGTCATGATCAATTTTAAACTTTGAACATTTTATTAAAATGATATTTTATAATGAATCAAAAATAGGCCTATGTTCTGATTCATTATATAATTTCACTTTTATATAAACATCGTGAGTTTCGAAGATTTTTTGATACCTAAAATTGACATTATTCTATATTTTTAGCATGCCGCGATGGACAGTTTGGCTCTGACTGTCTCCAGGATTGTCACTGTAAAGATGGAATGCCGTGTGATGTGTTTACTGGAAGATGTGAAGAGGGCTGTGAGTCGGGGTGGTCAGGAGAAGGCTGTCAAGGTCAAGTATCATAATGGGTGTATCCAGAGAGAGGGGAGGGTTCCAATTAAAATCAATTTAAAAAGATTTATTCCAAATATCAATCTAAAAAATAAAAAATTAACAGATGATGTAATGTTGTCTATGTAAAAAATGTAAAAATGCATTGTTAAAGATACAAAATAATTAGAGGATACACCGCTAAAGGAAAAAAAAGAAGCAAAAAAGAAAACCGTTCGTATTTATCTTGGTGGGCTGCTCTTCCCATAATTGAACCAATGCTAGGAGCCTTCAAATTGGGGATGAATAATGTATCATCCCGTTGCGTTATGCCACCTAGGCCCTCGCCATGAAATGCAAAGTCCTTAAGGAAACTTCAAAGTTCAAATATGCAAACAAAAATTGCTACGATAGTATCCCACTGCTGTCATATATATCCACATGGCTCAGACAGTTTTATTGACTTTTCATTAGCCATTACAGACACGGAACTATCTGCCCATGTCGGCCGTAAAAGAAGGAACATGGGAAGAAGAAAAAACGAAGTAAAAGAAGGAGAAGAAGAAGGAGAAAGAGTTGAAAGAAAGATAGAAAGAAAGTTTGTTTTAATTTGGATTCCCTGTCTCAATTGCAACTAAGAAACCGGATAGTTATAAACAATAAATCGAGACCAATATAAATCAAATCTTATAGTGATGAAATGAATAGGCCTATTATTTGATAAAGTAACCTTTGAAAATATTTGCATAAAGCTTTTAAATACGAAAACAAATTTATTGTTGTGCTTGTTTCACAGTGCCATCCGTTTGCCCACTGGGTTATTTTGGTGTCAACTGCACTGACCATTGCAACTGTCCAGATAATGTTGGTTGTGACAAGGTCTCTGGGTTCTGCATCACAACAGAAGGTCAATGTGAAGTAGGATTCACATCAGACTCGGTGGACATGCCCAATAGCTGCAACTCATGTAAGACTCCATTCGTTGGTTTCATGCATAATTTATCATATCATTTTTCTGTCATCCGTTCTATCTGTTAAGCATACTTACATTGATAACATTCAAGTCATTTAGAAATCATTATGTGCACAATCTTTCCCTTTTGGTTTTTAGATACTGGATGTTACAACCTGTGTTCCGGTACATGTCACTGTCGAGATGGTGAAGATGATTGCGACTCGGTGACTGGTTCTTGTAGCTCAGGTAGATGCCATCCACGATGGACAGGGGAAAGCTGCCAAATAGGTATACATCGTTACACATTTATTCGTGTTTTTCTTCTTCATTTACTTCGATAGAGTTATTAATTAGTTTACACATGCGTTGACATTGTTTTGTTAAAATTAGGTTGTTATTATCATTATTATTATCACTATCTTTATTATTATTACTATATCGTTGGTGTTGTCGTGTTGTCACCATAATCCTTATCTCTAACTATGTATCGGTCTTTTCTATGAGAGCACTTTTAGCCTTTAATATTTGCTGGGAAACTACAATGAAGACCCTTCATGCCTTACCTATTTTATTCATGTCCATATTTATATAACTGCTTAATACTTCCTTGTCAAAAATGGAAAAGAAAGAATACCGTAAATTAGCAAAGATACGTCACAATTAAAAGTGGTCTCATTCGGAATGCAACCTCTAACTTTATCACTTGTATTCAAGCCTATTTAAGTAACTATGTACTAGCTACGGTGAGTTGTGAGAAACATGATAAAGGAGCTCTTATTTGGATTCCATTGTATCATTCATATCTACTTGTCTGAAAATCATCACGACTATAAGGCCAAAAAAAATCATTTGGTTGTCCTCGACCGCCCGCTCATCATTTTTTTTTTTTTTTTTTTTTTTTTTAATTCATTGTTTTTTCTTCAATTTTTTTTTTCAATTTAATTTTTTTTTGGGGGGAGCAATCTTAAATGCCAAACATACCATTTGCAAGGATCAAAATGTATCCCGTTGCCAGGTTTGGTCTTTTCAGTAGGCAATTCTGTATATATTAAACTTGTCATTTTTATTTTTCTGTGTCAAAATGCCGTTCATTCAAATCAGGTTCTGAGCATTCTTAAACTAAATTAAAAGCCCATCTGTACTAGTTTACAGGAGGGATTAGACCACCCTGCAAGGTCACTGAACAGGTGGTTATCTCGTCAAATCAGCTCTCAGTTAACATACGATAACGAGTATCATGGGGGACCAATGGTCACCGATTAGGCATTGTTTGCTATATAGGGGGCGCAAGTAGCTATAAGTAGTACAATGGATATTTAAAAGGTGCTGTATTTCAAAGCCAAAAATACTTTCTGTGTTGGTCTTGATATTCATTGTAAATTAAACTAGTCTTTTACCCATACTAAAGTGTTTTAAAGACTCTTTTTGTTTAAATGCTTGACATCCCAATGATTTTTTTTTTTTTATGGAAAAAAATTCCCCAAAATGGGGGGGGGGGAATAAAAAGACACACACAAACAAAAAAGTTTAAAAAACAAATTATAATAATCCGCCCGCCCGCCCCTACTCCAGAAAAGCAATCGAGGACAACCAAATTATTTCTTTTGTTGGCCTAAACTGAAGCAGAAAGATCTGATGAGTTAACAGATGGAGGCGCGAAAGCTCAGTCGGTAGAGCATTGGTCTCGTAATCCGGCGACCCGAGCACTAAACCGACGTGATGCGCTAGTGTAAGGCATTAATCCTCATTACTATATCTCTCGGAGAAGACTTAAAGCCGTCGGTCCTCTGGTTGCTCAACAAACATTCATTCTTTCTTAGCAGGCAAAATAACCACTACCACCAATAGATTCTTTCTCCTTATCTGTCTCCTTTATGGTTAGATCGCTTTCAACTTGCACGTGAGAAGACGAACCCGGGTATTGCTATATTTTCCTGTGCAATCATGTTAGATTCACCAACAAACGTTGAATCTGACTTTGTGAAAGCTACAACAGGGGACTTTTCAATGGACAACTGGAAAATGACCAAAGATCCTCCACAAAACATTTTTTCAACACTAATCGATTTTATGTTCAACATCCAAGATTTTCCGGTTGACAGCCCTATTTACTGTTTCATCGGGGACCCTTTCAATAAATCGTCCGAGTTTGGCTATGTCAAGTTGGCGTCTGCTGCTTTTTATGGTGCGTATGTTTGACAATACTTTATGAATAATATACATGTAGTTGCAATGACGACCTTCGTCATTGCCTTGTTTTCGTTCACATTATTAATATTCTTGGTTCTTTGCAATGACGAACCTTCGTCATTGCCTTGTTTTCGTTCACATTCTGCCCCATTAATATTCTCCTTAGTATATTCCTTATCGTCCGGAAATCACATTCGTTTTGCACGTAGTGCTTGTTATTCCCAGTTAGGTGCCTTCATCATATCCATTTCCTTTCAAATTTCGTAGGCATCATCTCTAGCATCTCATCAAGGTCACCTACTTTTTCGATTTTCGAAATCACTCATGCATGACCGTCCAGGCGCCATTTTGTCCGTTTCTGGTCCATTTTAAGGCCTTTATATCTTCCTTCCTATCTCAAATATCCTAGATCCTACAAACTTCTAACAAATTCCTCTAGATAGTCTGAGAGATGTTCTTTCATCTGCGACGCATGACTTGACCTTCAAAATGCCATCTTCATACTCGAAATTCAAATCTAAAACCGACTCCGTCAAAAATCTCTCAAGTTCTTGAAAAATGGACCCCTAAATAATCTAAAACTGCCATAACTTTCTCATATAAATTCCGTTTTGTATTTAAATCTCACAGTATCTTTATCTCATAATTGCACATGGCCATGCCAAATTTCACGCTCCAATGGCTTTGCACAACATAAATAGCGCCCTCTAAAGTTCTGGGAATTGGCTTTCTGTCTGTGGCCGTATCTCCATAATGGCTTGGCAAACCCGTACCCTTTTTTGGATTTAGATACTTGAAGATATGCCCTTTCCAGCCATATACAAAATTATATACCCTATCACTGACCAAATTTGAGAAAATTGCCCTCCAAATTCGCCATTTTCAAGAAAATTGAGAAATAACTTCAACTTGCTCTAAAATGGCGATCGTTATACCTACATCAATGAAACTTTGCAGACATATGTATTCATATACGTGACAACTGTTTACCAAGTTTGGTAAAATTCGAATATGTCAGCGCAAAGTTATCGCCAAAAATGATGAATTTACTATGGATTACGTAATAGCGCGTTCAATGCGCGCAATACATTGCGCGCAGTTAACAATAGTGTCAAACTGACCGCAATGAAGTGCCCTTTCGGATGATACCAAGTATTATATATGTTCACACAGAAAATTGTGAGTAAATCGCATTTGAACAAAGATCACTACACGAATTCCGCCGAGTTTCCGCCCGAACCTAACACGTTTCGGCTATGACGTCATTTTTTCAGACTGCTTTTCGCCCCTTAAACGTCCATTTTTTTTCCTTGAAAATTTGCAGTGACATGCCGAGTTCCAATACGCAGGGCACCTTTTGGCCGGATTTTTAAAATTGGTCAAGGGGGCCATTTAAGACGCCATTTTGTCCTATACATCTATTTTACATCACGTGTTTCGATAGGATTATCATAGAAAAAAAGAGAGTGGTTTACAATAACAACCATGAAATTCTCTTTCTAATGATACCAAATACGGCCCATAAAGAGACGTAAAGAGAGAGAGAGAAAAAACAATTTAACTCCGGCCATAATACAGATCCTGCACGTTTTCCGCCCATTCATTACACGCATTGTCTATGGGGCATATCGGGTTCACGCTTTTGGCCCCCAGAACGAACTTGATTGCAATGTCAAACATGCACCAAATCCCATTGGTTTGTGCACGCAGTGCTTGCGAGCCCTTTCTAGGTTCTTTCCCCTATCCCAATTTCTTTCAAACTTCGTAGGCATAGTACCATCCCATCAAGGTCACTGTTGATGCCTTTCTTTCGCCCTACCTATCTCCAATATCACAGAAGCTACAGACTTCGTGCAAATTGCTCTGGATAGTCCGAGAGAAGCTCTTTCGTTTGACACGTAGAAACACGGCGTCATTGCACGCACATCGTTGTGACACGATTGCATTTCTAGTCCTCTTCTTCTTCTTGTCGTCCGGAATCCCATTCGCTTTGCACGTAATGCTTGTTATTCCTACCTAGGTCCTTTTCTCTCGCTCGATTCCTTTCAAACTTCGTAGGCGTAATCTCTGATATCCAATCTAGGTCACCTACTTTTTCGTTTTCTGAAATCACTCATGCGTAAACGTCCAGGCGCCATTTGTCCGTTTCTGGTCCATTTTAAGGCCTTTCTATCTTCCTTCCTATCTCCACTATCCTAGATCCTACAAACTTCTAACAAATTCCTCTCGATAGTCTAAGAGATGTCCTTTCATCTGCGACGTATGACCTGCCCTTCAAAATGCCATCTTTATACTCAAAATTCAAATCTGAAACCGTCTCCGTCAACAATCTCTCAAATTCTTGAAAAATTGACCCTAAATAATCTAAAACTGCCATAACTTTCTCATATAAATTCCGTTTTGTATTTAAATCACACAGTATCTTTATCTCATAATTGCACATAGCCATGCCAAATGTCACGCTCCAATGGCTTCGCAAAAAATAAATAGCGCCCTCTAAAGTTCTGGGAATTGGCTTTCTTTCTGTGGCCGTATCTCCATTATGGCTTGGCAAACCCGTACCCTTTCTTGGATTTAGATACTTGAAGATATGCCCTTTCCAGCCATATACAAATTTATATACCCTAACACTGACCGACTTTCAGAAAAATGCCCTCCAAATTCGCCATTTTCAAGAAAATTCCAAAATAAATTAAACTTGCTCTAAAATAGCGATCTTTATACCTAACTCAATGAAACTTGACACACATATGTATCCGTATACGTGACGACTGTCCGCCAAGTTTAATAAAAATCGAATGTGTCAGCGCAAAGTTATCGCCAAAAATGTTTAATATACTATGCATAACGTAATAGCGCGTTCAATGCGTGCAATACATTGCGCGAAGATAACAATGGTGTCAAACTGACGGCAATGAAGTGCCCTTTCTAATAACACCAAGTATAGTATATGTTCACACAGAAAATTGTGAATAAATCGCATATGAACAAAGGTCACTACACGAATTCCGCCGAGTTTCCGCCCGAATCTAACACGTATCGGCTATGACGTCATTTTTCGCCCCCTAAACGTCCACTTTTTTCCTTGAAAATTTGCAGTGATATGCCGAGTTCCAATACGCAGGGCACCTCATGGCCGGATTTTTAAAATTGGTCAATGGGGCCATTTAAGACGCCATTTTGTCCTATAAATCTATTTTACATCACGTGTTTCGATAGGATTATCATAGAAAAAAGAGAGTGGTTTACAATAACAATCATAAAATTCTCTTTCTAATGATACCAAATACGGCCCATAAAGAGACATAAAGAGAGAGAAAAAAACAATTTAACTCCGGTCATAATACAGATCCTGTACGTTTTCCGCTCATGCATTACACGCATTGTCTATGGGGGCATATCGGGTTCACGCTTTTGACCCCCAGAACGATCTTGATTGCAATGACACACATGCACCAAATCCCCTTGGTTTTTGCACGCAGTGCTTGTGAGCCCTTTCTACGTCCTTTCCTATATCCCAATTTCTTTCAAACTTCGTAGGCATAGTCACTACTATCCCATCAAGGTCACTGTTGAGGCCTTTCTTTCGCCCTACCTATCTCCAATATCACAGAAGCTACAGACTTCGTACAAATTGCTCTGGATAGGGCGAGAGAAGCTCTTTCGTTTGACACGTAGAAACATGGCGTCATTGCACGCACATCGTTGTGACACGATTGCATTTCTAGTTATTATTATTGACATCGCTAGGCACTGTCTGATGTGCATTTTCCATGAATATACTATGTTGAGTTAATAAAGGAAACCAGGGAAACCAAACTTATCACTACATATTAAAAATATGTATGATATATCAAGGAGGGTAGCTGAATTGTGAAATAAGCCCAAATCCACATGATATAAGATCTACACATTTATTACTAATTCAGAACAGCAAATGAAACCATCATTGTTATTGCTTTTTTATGGAAACCAGATTATTTTAAATACCGATGAAAGTTTCCCTTTTGACCCATGTTCTTCAAATAGATTTGCCAACCTTACGTTCACCACCTACGTTAGTTGCATCCAGTTATTACTGGGTCATCATCTCATGGAGATCCTGGAACTGTTCCATCGATACAGGTGATGGTCCCATTACTGGCTACGTAGTTTACGTTCATACTGAAGATGGGAACGAGACACACACCGCTACATTACTACCAGATGGATCTTTGGATACTGGGTCTTCAAGAGATAGGAGGGAAGTGACTAGTGAAGGATTAGACTTGTTGGAGTACAACATCACTGGTCTCGAAGACGGGACAAACTACGAGATTCAAATTGCGGTGATTCGGGAAGGTCCGAAAGGAGAAGGAGATCGAGGACATACTTTCAGTGTAAAGACCCAGGAGCTATGTGAGTTCTTCAGTTTTATTTACTCTTTGTATCTTACAGCTTTTCCACAGAATAATCGCTCGTTTTGTCGATCGATATAATATAATGATTTAATTTAAGTAACTGAGTGGATATGAAATGTACTTACTTTCAACAAATGGGATTTAAGTCTCAATGTCGCATTTAAAAATTTATCAAACGGGAGAGTGGTTGCTTAGGAGTATTGCTTTTTTTGTTAAGTCACAGACCTCCAAACAGGATTTACACCAAGCCTTCTCTTCAAATAAATGCGTGTCTGATAAATATAAAAATGTATTTAGATAACGATTCAGCTTTTGCATATCAAAATCGGAAAAGTAAAGGTTAGTATAAATGGCATTGGCCAACAACATTTCAAGCATTTTCCTAAATATTATCTAAAAATATTATTTTGGATCCATGAGATCTGAACAACTCACCTCTCTTGTTGCCTGTTTATGATGTTTGGATACGCCATAACAGCGTGTTAAACTTATCTTCTCGTTGCTAATCATTTTTCTTGTTTTAAAAAAAAAGTAATTTCTATAATACTCATGTTTAACGAGATCGTCTCAACTGAGAGAGTTATTTCGTTTATTTTTCTTGTACAATTAGCATGTTTTAATGTCCCCTCATTTAATCCATGATTTTCAATCTTCTTTAACTTTAAGTTTGCTAATGCGTGCTTTCACGTGCTTTTTCTATTTTTGCAGTTGGAAAAAAGTATGAAATTACAAAAGCTTGTGCTCACTTTTTCAACTCATTACACATTCAACAATAATGAGAAATCATTTAAAGGAACAGCAAACATTTGCTGAGATACCATTGTTTGATGTAGGAATTCTAAATCTTGATATTTCTTGCGCACTTTCATCTCACCACCTGGTCAACAGTTGCAGACTAGCGCATAACTTTTCGGTGGCTTGGAGCATGGGGTCAAATGACAGCGGCTTGATTCCACTCCTTCTCTATTACCTCCCTGATATCAGCTAGCGACTCACACTCACACACACCCTACATCTATACGCACGCATCTATTCTCAGTGATACTCTGTTTATGCCCTGGCCTGCTCCGGCCGGGGTTTGCTCAAACACTAATGTAAATTGCAACATTTTTTAACAAGGTTATTTTTTTTTTCAAGGATATTTGATTCGATGTACAACTTTGACTATTTTATAGTATGTACGAACGAGCTGTGGGGTGGGGTAGGGTAGTAAAAAAAAGATGTACAGGCACAAGAAATATATTCGAAGTATCTATCATTTAGCTATTAATTATATGCTGCATTGATATTTCGAACTCTTATCATTTCTTTTCACTACCATCCGACTTCACACAGCATCCTCTCCACCTTCAGGTTCCATAGCAACTGTCGCAGGAAGCGCTGTTGGTGCTGTTGTTGTGATTGTTATCGTTATAATTCTCATCATCATCTTTTACAAGCGAAGAAGGTTAGAGAGATACCTTATTATTAACTTGTTCCTCTCATCAGTCCGTTCTCATCGTACTCCTCCACGCAAGATGTGCAAACCGTATTGTCAGGAAAATACAAGCTAAATTATATTGAATATTACGTATTTTAGAAGAAACTTACCAATTTCTACATGTCGTGTTGACATTTTTCTATAAACCATTAATTGGATTTTTTTGTTTTAATTATGTAATTCATCGATGCAATTTATCTATGATTATATAACATTAACTTACAGCGATGAATCAGCCACTGCTAAGTCTAAAGGGAAGGAGTCCGATTCGTCTCCGCAGTATGAGAACCCTGTATTTGATCCGTCAAAGACAGACGTTCATACCTATCAAGACCTGAATACCGACCCTCATACCTACCAAGATATCAGTACCGATGGTAATACCCATCAGGATCTGAAGGAACCTGATCAAGAAGCTAACTACGAAGCATTGAATGACGCCATAACGAGAGATTATGTCAACGTACCAGGCGTTTAAACAGTACTATAATGAAACATTAAACAAGGTCTTAATGTGCTGATTAGAAATGGAATAAATGAGGATAAGAAAGATTCAAGTTCATCACAATGATTTTTAGTTATCAAGAAAAAAAAATCAATTTTAATTTGTTGCATATATATGTCAAAGTATCAATCATTCTGTGAAGATGCCTTTAAAACTCATCGTGAAATATTAACGTTTATCTTAATAACTGAAAGAAAAGCTATGCTGATGAACTTGGGCGTTTCCTTTCATGTACCCAATCAGAATACCATGACGAAAAGTTGTCAAAATCTATCATGGCTTTTTTTCTTCTTTGTCTTGTGCTCCTCTGTTTATGTTATCATTTACCATGTCTATTCGCATTATTCCAAAATCTTTTGATATTGGGGATCAGTTGAAATGTTTCTTTTTGAAATACCATGATTAACACATGTCTGACGAATTTGGGTAAAATAGTTGTAGACATTATTTTACACCACTACATGAAAGTCAGGGTATGGGATTAGTTTCTTTAAATGGATATATATAGTTATCTTCTTTCATTGAAGTTTGTTTCCTACTGTCGTTTTCTGAATAATGTAAATGATGTATACAAAAAAAAACATGAATCTTACATCATGGAGCACCAAAATATATTTCTATTTTTAAATTGTATTTTACGATTTTATTTTGAATGATTCAATGCAGGTGCAAATTATATGGGAAAATGTATTGAGTCATGTATATACACGTATTCCAAAAAGTACGAATGCATATTCCATTATGTAAATCGTGTTTTGAGATATCAGTAGGACAATATAATATTCGACTGTACTTTTTATCGGTATTGATTACTAGTGTTATTGCCTGTTATTGCTGGTGGAAAACATAATTAACACATTCTTGTACAAGATTTAATAGATAATTAATTGTTATTATCATAGTTATTATTATTATTGTTTTTATTATTATTACTACTACTACGACTACTAAGCAGTGGAATTCAGGTTGGTTAATATGTCGACGCGAACGTGTTAGGATGTAAACGATTAAATATGAAAATATAAGTTGTGAATATAGACATAGACTATGCATAATAAAATAAACTTGTATTGTATTGTATTTATTAAACATTATTGATGTACATCAATGATCTTTTTATAGACATATAAATCATATAAACCAGTTTACAATGCAATGTAGCAAATCAATTTTCTGTTTGTACACATATTTATATCATATACATCAATTTACAATGCAATGTAGCATTGTTTTATGTAAGGCTGTATATTTAAGTAAAGATTAAATAGTAGCATTAAAAGTTAATTAAAGTTAGATAATGCAATCCAAGTGAATATATAAACATATGAGCAGAGGATTTCGGGGCACATATTAAATATGACTACTGATAGATATACTTATAAAATGCACAATATGTAAACATCAAAGTAGTATGACAATAAAGAATACCAAAAGAAAGACACGTTTATTTTGTTTTAAACTCGCCAATCAACAAAACTTTTCCGTCAGATCATTAAAGCAGTTTGGAATTTTGCAAACTGTGCTGAAAGTCTGCCAAATACCAGCCACACTACTTTGCGGTAATAATTACTACATACAAATAATAATGCATTAATCGGGTGGAGATGTTTTTTTGTAATTAATTGACTCCCCTGAGGAAATGCCATTGTTTCTAATAGTCTTGGTATACGTCTTTTCATGCTCGATGAAAGTGTTGAAAAGTAAATATCAGGCTGATTTGCATTTAGAGATGTTTTTTGATATGTTGGATAGGAGTGGACTCAATAGTTCATAACAAACAAGGAAGACACGGGGTCGGGTAGCTCTTTTGGGGGAGTTTAAACAAAAGTTTAAGACTTCTAACCGTTAAAACACATGTTTTAAACTATTTAGTTACACATTTGGAGATGGAATTCATCTTGAAATTGAAATTGGTTTGAAAACTAGAGAATATACTTTTTACGATGACATGCCTACCTTTTCAGATTACCCATCCCTTCGAGGATTTTACTGTTCCCAACGAAATAGTTATAAAAACCTTTTATCAAAATCATTTGATATTTTCTGCTCATACAAGTATTACATTTTATAGTCCACTTATAGTCACAATGTATTTTTCACTTTTAGTTGATTACATTTGTAATATATGGTTAACCTTAAAAAGAGGGTGCACAAGTCTGGGGAGCTCCTCAAATGTCTCAGCCCACCGAAGCCACTACGGTATTCGCCGACTATACATGCGTCACAGCCTGGTCAGCATGTCCAAGCGCAAGTTTCGGAAGGCAAGGTCACGCATCAACACCATACTCAGTGAGGATTGTGATGAAGAAGAACCTCCCAGAGTCCCCCCCCCCCCCCCAATTGGTCCTAGCTGCTCCTGCCTCCGTGCGTGCGACCCAGTTCAGTACCAGCTACCTACACCCTCACGGCGTCTGAGATGTTCCAGCCAACTCCCCAAATGTGAAGATCGACACAAGACACCGGCTGCGTCAGTCTGGGTTCACATACAGACAGCTGACGATGTGCAGCAGCCACTGCAGCCACACTTCCAACAGCAGCAACCTCAGTACCAGCGGATGTTGCCGGGGAGCCTCCTCCTCCTCCTCCTCAGCATTGGGTCCATGCAGCCTAGTCCAGAATCTGGCCCATTTGATTATTGTAATCTCAACCAGTACACCAACGCTACCTCTCCCTACTTACTTGTAAACCAGCCGAAGATGGCGTGATCATTAAATTAGGACGCCCGACGAAAACATAGGCTGGTGAGCATAATTATGAGTTCGTTAATAACGCCATCTTCGGCGGCTGGAATCAAGAGTGTCTACTCTAGGGAATATAGAGAACAGGCCAGATTCTGGACTAACAGAAACCAAGCTTCGCCTCTGTATCTGCTGCTCTAGGTTCGGCTGGCCAGGTATTAAACCGGAGCCCCAGCGCCCTTGACCCTTCTCAGGATTAGCAGATACATTGGGGTTTTTTTTTTTTTGCTTTTTTGTAAACATGACCACTGTTATCGTGTGCCATTATTTTTCAGATGAGCAATGAAGAAAAGTTGCTTGAAATCTTGATGTTTGTTGATGATATTTTTCGAATTTAATTCATAAACAATAATAAATTACTCATGGTCTTATGGTTTATCTTTATTAACTTTTATTTAATAGGTGTGGCCATTATCCTTGCTCATGAATAGAAAACAAAAGAACTGTTACTTGGTACTTGGTTGGGTAATCCCTTTGGCAGCTCACTCAGGAAGCTATCCTGGGATATTAATTGTTTGTATACAAACAAAGTGGTACGTTTATTCATTTAGATAATAAGAGTGTATAAGACCAATGCTCAAACGTGTTTATTTACTACTGAGTGCTTTAATGACTAGGAATGCATCTACTTGTCTATAGAATGATATCATGGGTCTTAAGTCATAATGAAGGGACATGACGTTCTAGTATAGACCCCCAAACATGGTTTTAATACTACATTATATTTCTGTTTACAAAAATCATATCACAGTATATCACAGTATACAATGCAATTTATTTTATTCTAAGGGGTCGAATTCACAAGATCTTTGAGTAGATCTTTAATCTGTCCCCACTCAATTTATGTTATTTGTGTTGTCATCTACTGATTTTGCTACGTCCATCTTTTTATATTTGTTATACATGTATGCGTTTATTCGCAATTCTATGTGTCTGTTTTTTATATTGATTGAATAAATTATAAATTATTTATTATATATATATCTGCACTTTTACACTAAACCATGCAGACCCTTTCAAAACGAAACATGATTTTCCCTTATCCCATTTACAAGATGGCCCATCTCTTCCGTGGGTGACCCAACTCTCCCTTGGGGTAGGCTCAACTCTCCTCATCCTGGCGAGACTTGAGTCATGTGACATCTTTTCTTAAATCGAGTTTTACTTTGAAATGCATTCAACTTAAATATCAAAACCCTCACTGCATTATAACACAGGAGCTAAACTTGAATGGGTACATTTTATGGTGTTCATTTCAAGAGGAACCTTGTCGTCTTTGAGGTCTTTTATTGCCTGAACAATGCAGTAATACAAATATCATAATTATAGATCATCCTGTCTTACCACGGAACTGCACCAGCTGGGGAGTTAACCCAATGCTTGAGGAGATTCCTCTGTTTCTTTCCGTTCCTGGAGGCAATATATTTGGGTCACTAGCTGTCTGTGAAAAGTGACGTCCCTCTCGCCATGCTCTTGGAACAAAGTCCCGGTTCTCATTCCCTGCCCGGTCTAGCTGCTGGTTCTGTAGTCTTAGGTCCCTGGAATTTGAATTTGAAGTAAATTACTTATACAGCGCACCTATACAACATCTTTGACAATGAGCTTGACAGCTGAGGGGTGATGCTGCATGGTACTTAGCAGAACCTGTAGTCGGCAACCACAAGCGCCATCAGAACAATGGAGTATAATCCTTTGTAGTTGAACTATTGATACCCACTCTTTCGACGACAGTGGAAGGCCACGTGCTTCCCATCAAGCGCCCCACATGTATGGGGAAAGTTCCATCTTTGGAAGAACTTGTCAGCTATGGCATGCCAACCGATTTCAGGAGCACTTGGGCAAACCAGCACCTCATCCACGTATTCGTCAATAATGGCTTTTCAGATTTCTCTGACTACTAGGAATCTGGGTGTTGTGAGGGACCCTTCATCGAGGCATACCTGTTCCCAGTGGCGCAAAGTCAAGGCCAAAATCATACCAGGCTCAAGCGGATCCCTGTAAAAGGTGTACTGCTTGGTTATCCTTGGACCCACTCTGGCTAGCAACTCTTCCAACAACACTGGGGGTATACGCAGGAATTAAGTTGGTGAAGTGAAGGATAAATAATAATAATAATAATAATAATAATAATAATAATAATAATAATAATAATAATAATAATAATAATAATGGGCATTTCTATAGCGCCGTCTATCTAGAAATTCTATTCCGAGGCGCATTCATTATTATCCCGGCTTTAGCCTAGCTGCCATTACAGCGCTCCAGCATTTCAAGAAATTAATTCCTGCCAGGAACCCATTTACATCACCTGGGTTGAGTGTGGCAAATGTAGATCAATGTCTTGCCAAAGAACATTAGTGCTGCGGCAGGACTTGATCCGTGGTCCTCGTTACGAAGTTCCAACTGGTCATACATGCCACACAGCCATCGTCTCCAGGTCCATGGTCTCACCCAGTTCCTTCTCCTTCGTTCACCTCTCCTCCTGGCTCTATTGGCACGCAACTGCTACAGTGTCAAATCGGATGACATCTCCAATTACTTCAATGTTGGTAAGGACAAACGTTGCAATATGTCATATACATAACCAATTCCCCCTGCTACCTTAAGGATTGACGCCCCTGTTTAATATCATTGTTTGTGTCTCAATACAATATTCATAACTGTGGTTTATTGAAGTGTATTGATTCATGCCATACTATTTTACTGAGACTATTTATTTTTGAAGAATGCCATTGGAAGTCCAGAAAATGCAAATGTAATTTATGCAAAATTGGTAGAATGTTTTTATGTTTTCATATCAAACGATGTATGAGTAATACACATTGTATGATTCGATGATCAGGACTACCCTTCATCTACTACCATCCTACCTCTACTTCCCCTCGACAGCCTTATCTCTACTTTCATCCTACATACTTTCATCCTACACTACCATCTCATCTCTACTACTACCCTACATCTACTACCACCCTAACACCACTACCATCCTACTTATATCAACACCCTTTATTTGGTATTAACATGTAGATAGTTTTAAATTCTTTCATATAACATCAAACAATTAAATGGTGTTTCAAGTTTTCCTTGAAATAATTGTTTACATAATACTATTTTTCGTCAAGAGGGCTAGGTTTTTCTGGACGCCCCCTCCGATTAAAGGGTGACGGCATTAAATTGGAGAAAAACAAAAATGGACACAAAAATCATCTCTGAAAGTAGTTTATGACAAAATCTTTCGAATAAATAAAGTGTGCTTACTTTAAAGAAGTAGTGGCGACCAACTCTAAAACAGAGCATGATATTTGACTTTAGCCCTACGCTCTTAACCATGAACATTGATCAGTTGATGATTAGCTAATTCCAACGGGTTAATTCTTGTCATGGCTCTGGAGCACTCGAGGAAGAACCCCCTCTTCTTACTGTTCTTTCTGTTGGTGGGATTTTTTTTTTTTTTTTTTTTTTTTTTTAGATTTGATTTATTGGTTTCTGCATCTTTTTTCTTTTTTCATCATACATTTTCATGAACATAATATGGTTTGATACAATATTTTAAGTGTATACAATTTTATACAGATAATAAACGAATTGACGTTGAAAATCAAATAAAACAGATATTATTTTTCCTATCCTATGAAGAGAGGAGATTTTTACCCTATAGGGATATTCCATTGAGGGAGAATCATTGGGTTACTCGGAAAAGGGCATTTTATTCCGAAGGAGGGGTACCTTCATTACTCAGGCGAAACTGTGACGCATGGACACTGGCTCCATTGCTGCTGCTTTTTTTACTTCCACATCCGTGATCGCCAACAAAACAAGACCTCCTCCCTCCTCAACCCCCCCCCTGCTCTCTCTCTCTCTCTCTCTCTCTCTCTCTCTATCTCCCTCTCTATATATTTCTCTCTCTCTCTCTCTATCGCACTCTATCAATATATATATATATATATATATATATATATATATATATATATATATTTCTATGTCTCATTCTCTATCTATCTTTTCATCTCTCTATTTCACTCCTTATCTTTTCTTGTTTCTGACATTACAATATTTTTCCCTTTGTCTTTCTAAATTTGTTCCATCATGCCTGATGTCTTCAAGTAGGCTTCCAATAAATTATAATTGCATCGATTAGTGTTTCTCTGATGCGAAGGTAGTTGACAAGAATCAATAGATACATATCATTCCCTACATTATTGAACTTTAATGTTTGTTTACACTCAAGTGCAGTGGGTTTGAAGTTCAATTTGAACAGGAGACTTAGTCTCCAGGCACAGACCCTGATTTGACACTAAACCACACTTCATAAAACCTTGATCAGAGCCTAGCTTTATCAGTCTCTGGCTGCGTCAAATATGAAGTAATAATAATAATAATAAATATTTGAATTTTACCAAACTTGGTAAACAGTTGTCACGTATATGGATACATATATCTGCCAAGTTTCATTGATGTAGGTATAAAGATCGCCATTTTAAAGCAAGTTGAAGTTATTTTGGAATTTTTCTCGAAAATGGCAAATTTGGAGGGCATTTTTCTCAAATTTGGTCAGTGTAAGGGTATATAATTTTGTATAAGGCTGGAAAGGGCATATCTTCAAGTATCTAAATCCAAAAAAGGGTACGGGTTTGCCAAGCCATTATGGAGATACGGCCACAGAAAGAAAGCCAATTCCCAGAACTTTAGAGGGCGCTATTTATGTTTTGCATAGTCATTGGAGCATGAAATTTGGCATGGCTATGTGCAATTATAAGATCAGGATAATGTGAGATTTAAACACAAAACGGAATTTATATGAGAAAGTTATGGCAGTTTTAGATTTTTAGGGGTCCATTTTTCAAGAATTTGAGAGATTTTTGACGGAGTCAGTTTCAGATTTGAATTTTGAGTACGAAGATGGCATTTTGAAGGTCAGGTCATACGTCGCAGATGAAAGAACATCTATTAGACTATCTAGAGGAATTTGTTAGAAGTTTGTAGAATCTAGGATAGTGGAGATAGGAAGGAAGACAGAAAGGCCTTAAAATGGACCAAAAACGGACAAAATGGCGCCTGGACGGTTATGCATGAGTGATTTCGAAAATCAAAGAATGTAGTGACCTTGATGAGATGTTAGAGACCATGCCTATGAAATTTGAAAGGAAAAGGACATGATGAAAGCACCGAACCAGGAATAACAAACACTACGTGCAAAACGAATGCGATTTCCTGACGATAAGGATAAGGAACAGGAAAAGGAGGAAAAGGAGAATATTAATGGGGCAGAATGTGAACGAAAATAATAATGTAACTTATATCGCGCCAAATCCACTCTGTGGAGTGCTCAAGGCGCGTGTGAACAGGAAAAACGATCAAGACTTGAAAAGGAAGGGCTGCTAAAATCATGGAGTAGGCCCATGCTTAAATACAAAATTTGTGAAGTATACAATCGGCGTAGTCTCAAAGTGAAGACACATTTGTCGACTGACTGGGCAACCGCGGAAAAGAATAGGTCCGATATCATGTTAATCTTTTATTATGTCTGCCTTTAATCAGTCACCAACGACATCATGATAGCAACCATCGTGTGAAGGGCTCTCGTAAAGATAAAGAAAACAAAGTGAATAATGACTAATTCAAGAAAAGATAGAAGAGATGTTCGAGTAAAATGTTGTGCTTACAGTTCTATAATCACAGAGAAATGGAAAAACGAAACTTCAATAGAAAAGAAAAAAAGGAAAATAACGAGGAGAGGCGAAATGTGACCGCGAGATCGCAAAAATAGGATCACAATTTGCGATCCTCAGTCTCATGTGAGGAATGAAAGGAGTGGCTTGGGTACAGACATGGCGAAGGCACCGCCATCACGATGAACGGGGGGGGGGGGTAGCATCATTCTAGTGGGTGCACATGGAATTTATTAGCGAAACAACAAATTTGAAGGAAGATTCCCACCTCCTCTCCCTCACTATCTTTGTCTCTCTCTCTCTTTTCTCTCTCTCTCTCTCTCTCTCTCTCTTTCTCTCTTCCTCTCCCTCTATCTAGTCATATCTTCTCAATTCTCTTTTTTTTCTTCTTTTTCTTTTTTCTTTTTTTTTTGGGGGGGGGGCAACGTGCCCCTGGACAGCCAATCGATACGCTACATGCCCTAACTATTTCTCATGCAGCAGCATGATGCACCCACTGATAATGAACATATTTATTTTCATTTCGTTTATATTTAATCAAATTTGGTAAACAGCCCTTTGATCATCATGAACAGAGGGTGTGTACACTGGTATATATACGCCACTGAGAAAGCATTATGCTTTGCTTTTGTTATGGGGAGGACTTTGATAAGAGGCGTTAACGTTGTCTGAACACTAGTCTTCACCGAAGACTACATAAATATCCCAAAGTCGACATAGTGCCTCTTGAGAAACGTCTTGTGAAACGTTTTGAGAAACGTCACAACTCGAATGAAATTCATGCTCAATAAAAATCTTCTTTGCAAAGAAAACTAATAAAATATATAAATTTATGACCAAACGGTGGAACAAATCGTACAAGTACTAGGGTGTTCTGAATCTGAAAAAGATTAACTTTCGAAAATCTTTGCACTCATAACGCCCTATTATGTCCCCGAGTTCTGATCTTTACACAAAATTGTTGATATTTTCTATAAAATAATATATTTTAGCTCTCTGAAAAGGCTGCTTTTTTCATTGGGGATGTGCGGGGTGAGGGGTCAAGGCAATGTTATCGATGAATATTCTAATAATGACGAGTGCCTACTTTGCTACTCTAAAAATAACTTATTGGAATATTATTATCATGATCATTAATCTCTTTAGTTTATATTGATATTGATATTGATATTTGGTTATAATGACTTTGTGCCTTACCTGTCTCTAAGTTGATGTTTATTTTTAATTCAATAAATGAATTATGTTGTTTGTTTTTCTTCTAATAAAGCTCGGAGAAAATTAGGGAATATTAAATGAGAAAGAATCTTGGACGAAGACTATCTAATATTGACAGAGTTGAAGCAAAGTCTGTTTAATCAGGGAGGCGTTTTAACTCACATACCCTGGTTTAATGATCGTCAACTTCAGATAGAAAAATACCTTGGTTGAGAGCGCACCGTATAGATCAATCACCTCATCGTAATACTGCTACCGAAGGGTTTTGCTGATTTCGTAAACGATCTCGACCAGGAAAACGACGATGAAGACCTTATTATTTGCAGTCATGGTCATCTTGACCATTTCGTCCATCAATGGACAAGGTAAGTTAGTAATACTAAATTTCACAATCAATACTGTTTTGTTGAGAGTACTTTTTACTGCTATTTTGGTATTCAGTTAACCTTAATTATCATACTATATACAAAAGTCAATCGACCGCAATGCTGTGTAACATTTGTATTTTGTATTTCATTTTTAATTGTTGTTTTTTTCACGGCCTCTTTGTAAACTAGCCTGGCTGCTGAATGGGCTTCTTTTACCCCGTTTAATATCAATCAATCAATCAATCAGTATTGATTCGAATTTATACATTCATGTTATCAGACAGAAATATGCCCCCTCCCGGTCCCGTAACCTGATGCAGGGTTTAAAATTGATATCATAAATGGTGTTTAATATTCACACCTCTATCTCTATCTTTTTCATAAGATTATGTCAACCACTGACAACTTTGTAAAGAGTGTTTTTTTTGTGTGTGTACACCTCTTGATTAACAATATAACTGGTTTCCTACTGGTACAGGGGTAGAGATTTTGGCCATAAAACTTTCAAAAGAGATAGTGAAAAGCCCGTTTTCGCCACTTTTCGAATATCTTTGTTCACAATCTGTACAAAGGGATACGTATCGGAAAGGTAAAAGTTGAGCAAGAATTTGCGATGAACGATGCAATGAATTGAAGATCTAATAGAAAATATTTAACAACTATGCACTCTTAACCCTTTGCTTACGGGAACCTGTGGTTCCTGTGTTAAGCTTATTGGACCTATACAATTCAGTAGTTAAAAAATTGGATTATTCCTAAAACACCGCAAGACCGACTCCACACCGATCGATTCTTTCCTATTGTGGGTAATGTATTGTTTTGTTCGGTCTGGGGTCGGTCTTGTGTCGGGCTCGTCAATGTGACTGAGTATTATATTTGCATTGAAGAAACTACAGCCCAGGCGACCTATAGCATATAGCCGGTCTCGTGAAGCTACCAGAAAAGGTTCTTAACGATCCATGAGAAGAAATCATGGTTGGTCTCATGGGCAACCGGTCTCATAGGCTGTCGTAGTCAGTCTTGCGGGCCGTCTTACCGGTCAATACCAGGTAGAACCAAGCGTTCACGTTTAAGTGTGTATAAACAGGGCCATTTTCTTTTGTTACTAAACACCCTGAATAAACAGCTCTCAGGCTCTATTTACTTGTGTCAAAGTACAGACTTCATAAAGCACGTCCTCGATGATAAAATCATAAAAAATGGAGTGTGTGGTTTGAAGAAAAGGAAAATCCTCCCCCAACGAGTCAATATTTGATCCATCATAAAGGATACGTGACATGTTTATCAAATGCCTGGTGTACCTGGGTGAGAAGGAGGAATAAGTATGAATAGAGGAACAAGACGAGAAAGAGAAGAAGAAACGCAGACAAGGACCTATATCGCCCAAGATCACGCCATCCCTGGCTGCTGCATTAAGCAATGGACTTCGGTCCTATAATGGTCTGGAAAATAAACTGGGAAAAAAGGCTTATCTTTTCAATCATCACTGATAATTAATATTCTATTCTCCGTCATTTTTTAGATAACGGTTTTGTTTTTGTCGCTCCTTCTTTCTTTATTTTCTTATTTTCTTCATCATTCTGAGCATGCGGCAGAAAGAGACTTTGCCCGTAGTATGATCCCTCATATTGACTATAATAATGATTGCTGGGCTGGGGTTGCATTGCTCGTATGTTTTCTACTCTCTTTCTTTCTCTCTCTCTCTCTCTCTCTCTCTCTCTCTCCCTCTTTCTTTCTAGCCTTTGTCTGTCCCCTGTTTTTCCCCTTAAAAACTTATTCTGTCTTCGAATTTTGAAATTCTTTCTCTCTCTCTCTTTCTCGCCCTCTCGTCAGGTACATTATATATTCGCCTTATTCTGCTCCTTCTGTTTCTTTATCATCCTTAAAGGCTGGTCCCACGTAGTTTGCAATCACATATTCTATTTCGACTTGACCAATAAAATACCCCAGCCTCCTTTGATAATATGCCACCCAAATTATAAAAAAGTGAAAAGGACATTCACAGCAAGAGATTAATATGCCTATTGATCTGCCCTTCCCCTCGTCCTCCTCAATCCGTACATTAATCTTCCGAGAAACGTGACATCACAATTAAAGATATAGACCAGTTCTAGTCATGCGATTGCATTGTGAAAGAAACGTTGTTGAATCGATCAGAAAAGGTTGATCATCTAGCATATAAGTATTGGTGTGTACTGCAAGAATCTGGAATCAGCAAAATGATAAGAAATTTGGCCCAGTCTTGGTAAAGTTACAAGCACTGTACACAGAAAGATGTATATGGGACTACTGGATATCTATCCAGTCCGGATAGATATAATAACTTACCAAATAAATCAATTAGTTGGGGGTTTCCCGGCAAAATTTGTATCATCACGTATTAGTCAAAACATATTCTTTCACATGATTGGTAACAAGAGCTTCAATTTCATTTGTTGAGAGGGGGCGTTTCCAAAACTGGTTTATACCATTAAGGGTCCCCAAAGGCACTTTTGTAAGAAACATGTACTTGGTGAAAAGACCGATGCGTCTTTTGTATCATTAAGCATGAGGTCATGGTTCCCTTTAGAAATGGCGCACCAAGCATTGAATGCCCTTTTATAATGACAAATAATTCAATTCAGTAATGCATATTACGGTCATTGATCAGTTTACGAGCTTTATGGACTTTTCCCCCTTTTGTGTTTTATCTAATTTAGCCTATCCAGCCAACTGTCCCTGGACTATGTGGGAAATATCCCTCAGACTGCAACCCCAAGAACAAGTGCCCTACGACAAGACTAGTGACCCATAGGACTTTAACTCTCTGTTGTAACTTTAACTTTAACTTTAACTTTAAATCTCTGTGTACACAAGCTCCTCCAACAATAACATTGCTCTACGTCAATTCCCACACTAGCTGCTTTCTTAACGTCAACCCTAGGCCTAATACTATATATCTAACCTTAACCTAAACCCCGACCGGAACCCTAACCCTAATAACTCTCACCCTAAAGTACATAAAACCCGTGGCTAATGTTTGCTTACCAATACCTCCCTGCCAACATTAGGGGCGTCGGGAGATTAGTTCAGGGCAGGCACGGATCTAATTTCCTAGGGGGAGGCCCAAATTTGTAATCAATCTGAAATTTAGTGTGCTGAAATTTGAAAATCGTGCCGGTCGATATTTCACTCAGGGGGGGGGGGGGGGAGGGAGGGGGGAGGGGAGGGGGGGTAGTGAACACTAAGCTTTGTTCTTCTATATTTTGACCCCAAACATTTGAAAATTGCGCTGGCCGATAGTGAGCACTTCTTTTTGTTTTACTTAACACCCCCCTCCCCCTTCCCCTTGAGCAAAAAAGAAAATTTCTGGTCACAATTTCTCTTCTTTTTTTTGTCAAGGAGGGGGGGGGGCAAGGCCAGCTCGGCCCACCCCCCGGATCCGCGCCTGGTCCAGGGCTCCGTCCTGTAAAGAGTTACGATTAATCCAAATCAATCACTAGTCATTCTATCAATGGCAGGTTTTCCGTCTCTTTTCTTTTAATATGTATTATAGTTGCGATTGATATCAATTGCAAATAAGTTGCGATTAACAATTAACAAATAGTCTGTATAATATTTTAAATAATCCAGATATATACAATACGTTCATCTGTTTTGCCTACTATCTATTTTTTATTTTTTTCAATTTCCTTTTATCACTTTCAGATCTCGAGGGTACATGTGATCCTTCTACAGGTATCTCGGACACAGACGTGAGTTTCATTGTCTCCTCCTTCTAAGTTTCAAAACTCTGTCTATACTTTATTCAAAATGTCGATATAGTGTCCTCATGATGTCCATAGAAAAGTAACAATGTTTTTTTTTTTGTTTTTTTTGTTTGTTTTTTTATATTTATGTTGAAAAGTAACAATGTTTGTGATGCTGTTTTACTATGTTACTGTAACTTTACGGTGCTTATAATGTCTGAATAACAATGTCTTTTTTCACTATACCATAATTATTATCTTAATGATTACATAGTATTTTAACAAAAACATCAATTCTTTCAGTCATTTTACGAGTCTACAGAGTGTTCACGATTTCAAGGTATTTTCATGATTCAATAATATTTGTTATGATTTCAAGAGTATACATGTATTTCATTATTATAATAATAATAATAATAACAATGATAACAGTACATTGTTTTAGTTGAGTTCTTGATTAAGATCGCAAGTGCCTTGAAAGTACATGTTATTATTGCTTTTATGCTTATTTATGACATTTCTAGTGCCTTTTTAGGACCTAAAATTGCTATGAAGGTAATTTTAGACCCCAAAATGTGTGAAATTTAGATTAAATCCGATCATACTAATTCAGCTCCATTCTCAAAAAAATACGGTGACCGTTAATTAATAAATTAATTAATAATAACAATACCCGGGCCGCGTCTTATTTGTTCGTACCACAGCGAGCCCAGATTCCAGTATGTACTCATTTGCATACATAATAACAAGCTACGAAAGCTAGCAAAGAGGTCACAAACAATTAGACTTTGATTATGTATTGCTTTGCCTCACAATTTATAAAGGCAACAAAACTGAATAAACTGATATTCGAACACTCCAGTCAATTCCAAGGTTCTGTTAGTATTACGCTGTCTTTACCGATTGAGCTAACGATGGGTTGATGAAAGGTTGATTTGTATACTTACTATCACCCTATTAACAACCCTACCGGATTCCATGTACGCATGCGCAGGTTTCATTCGCGAGCTCAAATCTTGGCTGGCTGTGGTACGAAAAAAGAAGACGCACACGGGCCGGCTGGTTGTGCGTATTATTTTTAACCAACACGAAAAAGACCAAAAAAAATCCAACCTTGGCATTGGCTGTAATAAAACGTATAAGGCGCTATTTCATTTTTTCAACGGCTGGTTTAAAATTATCGAATATTTGTAGGGCCCCACTAATATAAAAAATGCATGGTTATATTTATGGATCTTTCCGCCGTTTCTGAATCGATTTTGGTCAAACAAAGACGAATTTGTCATTTGAATTCTATGCTCTTTCAAATTTGTCACTCAGTTTTTCATTATCTGCGCCCTCTATGTGCACTTTTTTTAATTAGTATGGTATCGCATGTCAGCAGCAAACTATAATTTGAGAACAACAGACTCTCGGAGACGGAGCATGTTATACTTAACATAGTGTATCAGGGCAAGAAAGGCGTTAAACTCAATTGAGGTGCTCGTGTGCTCTGACTGGTTTCCTTGCTTTTTTAAGGCTGTCGTGTTTAATAACGGGAATGCCTCATGACATAGGTTGCAAAAAGCATCTGAGATATTTACAGTTTTCCTGAGAAATAGATTTAAATTGAATTTGAATTCAAAAGATATTTATTGTATTAAAACACTTTCGCTACACAAGGGCTAATTCGCGGTAGAATTTATAATTAAAAAACACGTAATAAGTGCACTAATAGCACATTACAACGATCATTAATAATTCATATAAATTCATTACAGTAATTAGGTAATAGCAATGAAATAGAAGAAAATGATCGGATGGTAGATTGAGGGATACAGGAATAACTTGCTGATAGAGGGGATGAGATAGGTGAACAATGATGCAGTAGATAGTAAGGTGCGTTTCTGCTGATGCATTCAATCGGTTCGTGTCTGAGTGGTACTAAGCTCTTTTATTTTATGAATAATTAGAGGGAAGGGTATTATATGAGAACCCGCCCGCGCCGGCGCAGATAATTTTGTATAGCAATTGTGGCTACTGTTAAAGAATAGTCCTGAAGAAAATCTGTCTTAATTTGATCTTTTATAATAAATCAACCGAAACAGTTGCGTACGTTCGCAAGAAACATCATTTGCCTGATAAACACCATTATGCGATTGGGATCACGTTTCTTCATCGATACTTTTTCTTTACCTTTGTTCCCCCTTAAAAAAAAACCTTTTCCCCTTTTTTTTAAACCTTTCTTGCTCTGTCTCCAGTGCGAAGAATTCATCAATATAGGTGCCATAGCTGTGATATTTGAGGGCCAAAAGGACGTAAGTACTCTCTTTATTTATTGATACTTTAACCATCGAAGGCCGCCTAGATGAATCAAAGTAGAACATGAATTTCAGAATATTTAAAAACCTCTTGACGTATGAGCCTGCATCTCTCTCTCTCTCTCTCTCTCTCTCTCTCTCTCTCTCCCTCCTCTCTCTCTCCCTCCCCCCCCCCCCCCCTCTCTCTCTCTCTCTCTCTCTCCCTTTCTTTTTTCTCCCTCTGCCACTTCATACATTATGAATTACATTGTAATAACAAAATATCTAATGATTGTAAATTTTACTCGGGCAAGAGATTTGCCTAGGTCTGCATGGACTCGAATGTATTCAATCGGTATATCCATGGAGTTATCCATGTAAGCCTGTGTGTGAGATTAAGAAACCAGTAGATGTTCCGATGTAAAAGTTCAGTTTCTAACTCATTGATTAAATTTCCGCGACACCATCATTTCCTTGTTTTAAACCAGGGATACATTTTTTGCAGAGCGAATATTGAAGTAATTCACTTTCAAAATTCATTTCTGCAAAACTATGAGGCAAATGCCACAATTCGAAACAAACGCTCAATAGTTCATTTTTGTTTACCCTCAAGCCTCTTTCAGATATGACGCGTCAAAATAGCGGCGCTTTTTTCTTCTTAATATTAATGTTGACGTCAGGAGTAATACGCTCAATAATGTTTGTCTTACACCACAGAGCTCCGTGATTAAGCGCAGGAACTTTCTTTTTTTGCGACGGTTTACCCTCTCGTATCTAAAGCAGCCTTTAGACATTAGGCCCTATTCACAAAGAAGGTTTGTCGACAAACCTAGGTTTATGTGCGTCATATGACGCGTTTCGACGCGTTTTTTTTACAAGCAAACCTGGTTTGTAAAAACGCGTCGAAACGCGTCATATGACGCACATAAACCTAGGTTGTCGACAAACCTCCCATTTGAATTCGGGCCTTAAGTTCCACCGTCACTGCACAAGAAAGACCTCAAACAATACGTTATCACCGAAAAAAGTGGTTATAACTAAATACATTACATTGTAAATTGATTTATATGATATGTTTCCAAACATGTACAACTTTTGTACATCAATGAAGTTTAATAAATACAATACAATACAATACATCTATTGCAGATGCAAGAAACATATAAATCAACTCCCCAAAAAATCATGTTTTTCAGGTTTTAACTGACGTGGAAACAGAACACTTCCAAGAGGTGATCGCCAACATGACCAACAATTATGTTTATCTAGAAGTTTTGTAAGTATATTGCGTCAATTCTATACATTATTATAATAACATTAACGTGACGTATCCAGTAACTGATAAATAAATGGGCAGCATCTCCGGGGAGGGGGCGAAATGTACCTGGGGGTGTTTCATAAAGCTGTTCGTAAAGTTACGTATGACTTTACGAACGACTTGTATATAAAAGCCAAATGGGATGCTCAATCATTATTAACTGCATCAAATAAAGTTGAACTGTGCAGATGTAGTTTGATATTCTTATTATAACAAACATTCTTAGTGCAAAGTATATTTTTTGCCATAATTTAATTGAGGTTATTGGAAATATCAGGAAAAACTTTGGGCATTCTATCTGGCACTTCATATATATACAAGTCATCTATAAAGCCATGCGTAACTTTACGAACAGCTTTATGAAACACCCCCCCCCCTGGTCTTTTAACCCTAATAAGGCCGGGGGGCATTATGGCCACCCCCCCCCCCCCCCTCCACGATTTTTCTGATTGCTCGAGAACGCATATGGATGGCGCCCCGCCACTCGCTGACTTTTTTCTTTTGAGTCTTGCGCAATTTTTAAAAGAATTTTTTTGAAAATTGGACCTACGGTTACAAGGTCACGTGACCTTTTGTCTTTGCATGTCAGCCCGAAAATCGCTCATTTTCGTGATTTGTGTACAAAACATATGGAAAAGTCATTTTTCCTAAAAACAGATCAAACATGGGTTATTGGGTCTTGTTTAAAGTTTAGGTGGTTGTTTTGGGTGTCAAAATAGTTGAATTGTAGTAAGAAAAGAAATAAAACAACAAAAACAATGAAATACATAAGTTAAAAAAACAATGAAATACATAAGAAATTATTAAAAAAACAAGGGATAACATAAGTAATAAGCTGGCTATTCCAATTTTTTTTGTTGTATTATTATTCAGAATGGTCTAATGAATACATGTAGTGAAAAAGAATGCCTAATTATGAATAATATATGATTTATGGGTAAAAATGTGAGTTTTATGACTTTATTTGCATAAATTACCTTAAATATGCAAATGAGTGAATTTTTCAAAAAATTGAAATTATCATATTATTCTATACACTTCACTTAACATGCGTGCAAATTTTCGCGGCGATCGGCCGCTTCGCGGCCGAGATCTTAAGGGGGGCCATAATGCCCCCCCGGCCATACTAAGACCTCAAATAGCCTGGCCTTATTAGGGTTAAGGTGATCCTATACAAAGAACAAACGGATAACAGTCGTTTTAGTGCAATCGGACCAAGGCGGGATCCGGCAAAAAGAGGCCAATTCGTAAATTTTAAAGTAAAAACTAAGCAATAGAAAATCCAAATAAAAACTTATGAATGTACTTCAGTTATATACTAGATTGAAAAGCAGACTAACATAAACTATTGAAATGAAGAATCCAAAAGTCCGAGGACGGCCATTCACTGATATATTCCGTCAATTTTGATCAATTTTCTCGATTGCATTGATTATGATATTTTTAATTGGGAAGATGGGATCAAAAGATGAGTTCTAAAAATGAAATTTGCAAAGTAACGGGGCGGAAAAAGTCAATTTTTCGATGTGTGCCAAACTTATTTCTAAGGAGTACAGGAGACACGTTTTATTGCGCAAACCATCCATTCATTCATTCTATTCATGTTTATCTTAAAATGATTGAAAGTATTGTCTAAGAACTAGCCTCTTCTTTCTACACTCCATTGTGTTTCGCTGTTGCATGGATGAGTGTGGTTACTTGGTTGTTGTTCCTCCAAAAGATTCCTAGTGGAATTTAAACTGGTTGTGTGTGTCCCTTCTCTCTCTCGTTCTCTCTCTCTCTCTCTCTCTCTCTCAATATCTTTCTCTCTCTCTCTCTCTCTCCCTCCCTCCCCACCCTCTCTCTCTCTCTCTCTCCTGTTATCTTTCATCTCTCTCTCTCTCTCTCTCCTTTTCTTTCTCTTTCTCTCATCTTTCTCTTCATCTTTGCTTTTTCTCTCTCTTCACTAATATCATATCGATCCATGTTTTGTTATTGTCGGTTTCCCCCATTAGGCCTGAGCACGTGATCATTGTCCAGCGTATTCGTAACACCGTTACTAATGATAAGGGATTCAACTTCTTCATCCTGAACCCATCTCGATCGGAGTACATGCCGGTAGCTCTCCGCAAACAAGAGCTATACCTCATGATCAAGATCAACAACGAGGATATCAACGACGCCATGGGTGCGGGTTGGGTCGTCACTCCCATAGAGCCTGAATCAACCTATCCACTGGCTATTCCTGCTTGGGCTATAGCTATCATCGGCTATGTGGGCCTACTCATCTTCATCTACTGCACCATGGTGTTGACCAGTGATTGGCGAAAGTAAGTTTGCAAGCATAAGGTGCAATTGAGCACAAGCATCACAATATTAAGCACAATTTCTAAAAAGCAGTTCTGGTTGAGTGTAATTGCCACTCACTAAACAAAGAAGTTATCGATATGAACTTGTTTCATTTTGTTCTTTGCTTTTACTCTCACTGCTCTCACTACAAGAAAGTCTTGAAACTGTTGGCTGTCCGCAAGAAATTCGTTTCTGCACTTTACGGGGGGAAATAGCTCTATACGAAGAATTACACTCTATCAATGGATAAGAATACTATTTTGAACTTAAATAGCCCACTACATTATTTCCCTATCTTGCCTGTAGTATCATACCATCAATGACAGCAATATTGTCATAGGGCGTTTCTGCCTGCTTATGCATTCATCATGGACTTTGTTGTACATGTATATGGATTATTTGATGAAATGCTTTCATGCTCCTGATTATAAAAAATCCTGTTTTGTGAATCCATAAGATGAACTTCACTGTGAAATCACAGAACAAGGAATTAATAACCCGCGACACAATAATAGGAACTTTTAGATTCTGCACGACGAGAACGTGAACTGCACTTTTAAGGCAATGTGACGTCCTTTCAAGGCACTGGCAGTGACGTCACATTGCCTTAAAAGGGCAGTCCACGTTCTCGTCGTGCAGAATCTAAAAGTCCCTAATGTCCTATCGGGTACCTTATTCCCCTTCATGTTTCGTATTATGTTTCATCCTTACAGGCAAAAGGCTGCAGAGTTCGAGGCAAATCTTGAGAAGGAGTACTACGCAAACACCAATGGAGTCTCGGTTGCAGACGAGATCCCCTTGAAGAAGATGGCAGTAGAGCACGACTACCAGGAGCCGGTACATGAGACCAAGAAGAACGGAGGACCATCTCAGAAGTCCATAGGGGTCCAAACACCTCGTCACGTGGCTGTCCAGGTAATACATTAAAGGCCTTAATGCCGAGACCTTACTAGGTATAGAAAACGGCCTTTCCGTGTGACTGTCAAACTAGTGAGGGACAAGGTAATTACGCCTTTCCACAAGAATGTCCGTCCAAGTAAGACAGCAGGACAGGCCTACATGGAATTATAAGAATTCTCTCCCAATCGACTGTCCAATTAAAACTATAGGGTTTCAATATAATGGGTATAGGTTTATCGCTGTGGCTGTCCAAGCGAGACAAGAGAGGGGCAATAGAGTACCGAAGCAGTGACGTCATAAAAATCTATTTTTAGAATTTCTCAATTTTGTCTTCATTTTCCGAAGGAGCATCAAAAATAATGTCCAAATGTCGAAAACCAATTGAATATGTTAAGTATTGGCTGAGATATGACCATCTGAATGAATATATTTCCTATAGGAGCTCCTAATACGTGTATCTGACGTTCCACAATCATGTTCCATGAAAGACCATATAGAGGGACAAGGTATTACGGGTATGAAGAAGTTTTTTCCATGTGGATTTTCCCATGTATGTCAACAGAGGGGCAAGATCTTCTGTGATTAAACGCCTTATCATAATCTGTTGTGATCGTGGTGGACATCAAATGCAGTGTGGTCGTAAAAAAGGCCACAGTTGTGGCTCAGACCAAATGCAAGAAACTATCCTTAGGATTCAGACGCTTCATCTGAGTATGAAGCCAAGAGCAGTTATGGATCACTTGGGGGTGTTTCACAAAGATCATAAGTTAGAATTTTCTCTAAGTTGGACTTAACAATTATGGAAAGCCGTTAGCATCTATGAAAATGTTGTGCACAAGTTATTTTAAAGGGCATAACATGTTGATTCAAATCATTCATGATTTCTTTTATCAAGAAGCTTTCATGGTCTTGATGTGGAATTTATAAAAAGTCTAAAATATTTGAATTTTCACAGTTGAATATATTTTATTTTGATACTACAAATGGCTCTCCATAATTGTTTAAAGTCCAACCTAGAGTTAAGTTCGACTTTAATAGGATCTTTGTAAAAACACCCCCTGGTCGCGAAATTGTACGAAGAACATCAAAGCAGAGAGAATGTATTGAAAGGACTTCGAAGGGGAATATCAAAGTAGGAGATATACAGAAAACATCAAAGAAAGACAGCAGAATAAAAATAAGAGTACAACAAGAAAATGATAGAGAAGGAGGAGCCGAAAAAAAACAGGAAACAAAAACGAGAAAAGACCTTACCTTACTACTAATACGTTTCATATAATTAAAAAAAGATTAAGAAATATGACAACCGGAAGCATAGAGGTGATTTTCCTGTCACGTTTTTGTATTATTCGTCACATTTATTTCCTGTCTAGGTTGACCCAGAGGATGTCGTAGCAAGACGATCTTCGCCTGCACCCAGTCAGACTAGCACCACCGAAGTCGTGATTGAAAATGGCTATTCGGCGATCGACCACGAGCCCGCATACGACTCCGCTGACGCACCAGACACCGCTCACACCGCTCCCGTGACAACCGAAGGCGACGCCGATAAGGAAGCTGATGATGCAGCGGCGGCTATAGAGGGCGCTGTTAATGAAGGTTATGCGGAGGATGAACCTGAACCTGGCGTTACTCAACCTTCCACAAACCTTTAGCTGTCGATCAATACAAGAGAAAGGTTTCTGGTGTTTAGTGATGGAAACTGACCACGGCACGACTTGACCTGAAGACACTTCTGTATTATTAGCACATTCCCACTTTTATTAATCACTATGTTGTATAACTACATGACATCAAGCAGCTTGAATACCATAAGGCAAGCTTAATTAATTAGAGTTTCAAGTTAATGTGTTTTCATATTTTTTAACGTTCAATTCTCATTGAAGCCCAGGGAGAAAATCAATACAACAGGATACGGGAATGCTAATAGATATACCCCCTTCCCCGGTTCTTATATATGCTAATAGATGCCCATTTTCCTTCGACTAAATAATTTTGGGTCCGCAAACGCCATTTGCATTTTTAGTTAGGTTAGCAGAATAATGTTGAAATCTCTCAATCGTCTCAACTCACTCTCACTCTCTCTCTCTCTCTCTCTCTCTCTCTCTCTTTCTCTCCCTTAATTATCTCCATCTAATGCGAAGGAAAATCCTTTGATGAGATCATTGTTCTAATACAAAATGAAAAAAAGTGATATTCTCTATGTTAAAGACATGATCCTAACATACAAACTTTGTATAAATTTCGTCCTGTTTTTTTTTGTTTAATGGTTGTTGTTTGAAAGTGTGAAATGTGCCAAAATAATTATTGCATTCATGGGGTAGATTTTGTTTAAATCATTAATTAAATCAGAAGCAGACATAGACCTTTGACAATAAATAACTTGATTACGTCTAACGTAAACAAAAAGAATATGATGCATTACCTGAATATAAAACAACACAATAATATTGCAAGAAAAAGCTCCGTCATCAATGAAAGTAAAACAAAATCCAATAAATTTTTGGCGGGATGTAAAATAAAATTGGGGTGGCTACCTGAAATTAAAACCCTCGCTGTATACGTTTTGTGATAACTTCCTAATTTCAAAGATGGGCTTACCCATTTTTTTCTTCTAATTTCTATTTCAAGAACTTATTCAGTCTATGTAATATTTCCCCTAGATTCGGTGGGTATATCGATTAAGTGATCCATTCCTGATCATAAACCTTTGGATACCAGACCGATCACCCTGATGCCAAACCTAATAGAGTAGTACTCAAAGATTAATGAATAAAAAAATAATGCCCAGCTATATTAAGAATATACGAATGAGTTCCCTTGAAAGTGATCATTAAAATGGAATAAAAATGAAGCTTAATGATTTAGTCGTTTGTGTATTTGTAATCGTGAATAGTTGAGTTGTATAATAGTTCCCGATGTGCAATGTGAATGTTATCAGTTTAAAGGCGCGTTGGAAAGCGTAACCAATCACCCTACCCCTTTTTGTTTTGTTCTTTCTCTCTCTCTCTTTACCTATTTTGTCTTATTTTGTCTTTCTCTGCCCGTCTGTCAATCTACTCCTTTCTTTTCACCTTTTCTTTCTTTCTTTCTTTCTTTCTCTCTCTCTCTCTCTCTTTCTCTCTCTCTCTCTCTCTCACACACACACACACACACACACACTTACTCTGAGATACTCCTCTTTAGTTCTCTCACACAGTTTTTCTCCATCTCTCTCCATTATATTTCATTCTCTCTCTCTCTCTCTCTCTCTCTCTCTCTCTTTACATATTTTATTTTATTTGTCTTTCTCTGCCCGTTTGTCAATCTACTCCTTTTTTCATCTTTTCTTTCTTTCTTTCTTTCTTTCTCTCTCTCTCTCTCTCTCTCTTCCTCTCTCTCTCTCTCTCTCTCTCCCTTTCTCTCTCTCTCTCTTTCTCTCTCTCTCTCTCACACACACACACACACACACTTACTCTGAGATAGTCCTCTTTAGTTCTCTCACACAGTTTTTCTCCATCTCCCTCCATTATCTTTCATTATAATTTGATGTCCCTTTTCCCGGCTCTATCGTTTATTTTTCTGAAGAGCTAGAGGTACATAGTAAACATTCAAAACAAAACCATATAGATTAATTTTAGGCCTACCGTGCGACTGATGTCATTTAATTTCATTCATTTCAAAGTGCAGGATATAGATACTTCTTAAACTGTTTAAAAAGGAGTGATGATTTCGTTAGTTTGTAATTGAAATGAAGACGTAGAGCAATATGTTTGCCCAACGACCACAAATTATTCATTCATAAATGGCAACAGAAAATTCGTTTGAAAATGTTTACTTATGATAGCAACGATGAAAGTCGAAATAATGAAAATTAAATGTTTCAATGACATTTATATCCAAATAAGTGCTTTGGAAGTATCATGATGTCTTTTTTTCATAGTGTTTTACGTGAACTCGTGTTTATCACGCCTAAAAGATCAAGTAAATTTAATTTATAAACAACAGAAATACAGGCAGTTACAATCATTATACAGACATTATGTTTAGTTAATATCTTTGTTTAACCAAAAACCTCCGATCCCGTAAACCATTGCCAACGCGAACCGGTTAGTTCCTGTCACACAGTGGAGTGGAGGGGAATGACAGGATTCAGAAACCATCGCGTAACGTGTAGATCTTGATACCACGGTATATAATGGTTGTTTAATAAGTTGGCTTTCCGTCACACTGGACTTCACGACATTGAGAGTCGTAGAAGGTGAAATTGCATCCTCCGCAGTAGTTGGACCTGTAATGGGAAAATAGAATAAAATAGCTAACATTCGGATGTATTATTGATTAGAGGAGAGGAGGTTGAGAATACAGGTATAATAATGCTGGTCATGAGGTAGTCACGCAGTGAGAATTACGATTGCGTTGTTTATGTTTTAGGTTGCTATATAATGAGGCCATACGGCTGTAATTTAAAGCGTTGTTTGTACCCCTTTTTGCTCTTTCGGTTATTTCTTCTTCTTCTTCTTCTCCTTCTTCTTCTTCTTCTTCTTCTTCTTCTTCTCCTTCTCCTTCTCCTTCTTCTTCTTCTTCTTCTTCTTCTTCTTCTTCTTCTTCTTCTTCTTCTTCTCCTTCTTCTTCTTCTTCTTCTTCTTCTTCTTCTTCTTCGTATCCTTCTTCTTCTCCTTCTCCTTCTCCTTCCTGTTCTTGTTCGTCTTCTTAAAAGGTGAAATCCATGATCAATTAAATAAGAGAGAATCTTCTATGTATATACTTATCAGTAGCCCTAAATTTGCCCCCCCCCCCCCTCATTTGTTTCAAGCAATTCGCACTATGTAGACACACCTCCTCCATGTGCTCGACCCTATCCTAGCGAGTTCTACAGGATATAAGGCTCGTATCCGGACACCTACTCCCTGGACATCCACCCCCGGATAACCACCCCAGTCAACTACCCCCTGGGGGTAGTCGTCCTAGAGGGTGGTTGCCCTAGGGGGCAGCTGTCCGAGGGGGTAGTTGACTGGGGGTGGTTATCGGAGGGGTTTAATGTCCAGGGGTGGGTGTCGATCCTAGAACCTATAAGGCTATGACTTACATGCATCGAGCATTAGGAGAGGCTCCGCAAGTCGCCAACAGACATGGATCCACCTTGCAACTGACCACATTACAGGGCGGGCAATCAACAGGTGAAATACACTGGCCATTGTGACGTAACAATCCTTCACTGCAGAAACACCCAGCGATTGGTGGTCCGCCGGGGCGATAGGGCGGTTCCGGATAACCAGGACACAGGGACTCCTCTAAGTCACACGGATGACGAAATACAGAATAGGTCTCGTCTTGTTGGCAGTTCTCTGCCTCTGGAAAGACAAAAAAAAAACACACCCAGAAATTGCAGGTTAAAGTGACATGTGGCATGACCATGACTGAATGGACAGTGACATCACGGGATAGAGATCAACATATTCGTCTACACCTTTAAAAAAAACTTACAAAAAAGTACCATGGTACCCATTTTTTTTTTTGTCCAAATTAGCATCCACCATGGTAACCATGGTTATCATGGTACCAAAACAATGAAAAACATCATATAAACAATGTATTCCATTGTTTTGGTACCATGATAACCATGGTTACCATGGTGGATGGTAATTTGGACAAAAAAAAACACGGTTACCATGGTACTTTTTTGTAAGGGATTGTCCTTGTGAGTATCAGACAAACTAACCTCTTAATGCGCGACATGATGGACCGACAGCCCAAACGAGGATTTGTGCCTGCCACCGACTATACTAATATTGGTAGCTGTGTAGCAGTAATAGTATAAATAGTAGTGATGTTGTAGTAGCAGTGATGGTGGTGGTGGTGGTGGTGGTGGTTCAAGACATAGTATTATAAGTAGTCGTAAAATAATGGTTAAGGTAGTCTAGTGGATACATCGTCAGACTGACGATCACAGGGTTCACGGTTCGAGTCCCGACGCGGCATTAATGTCCGTTGGCAAGACATAAATCTACATTGACCACTTAAAGATAAACTTGAGTTCTGGTAAAAAAAGAAAATTAATTCTCACAGAATCTAACGAAACTTACACTGAATGTTCAAGATTACAAATAAATGACATGTGCCAAACAATTTTGGAAGAAAATGTATACTGGCTGAGTAAGGAGCATAGAAAGATAAGGAAATCAGGGTAGTACTAGCCCCGACATCATGTCTGTTTTCCCATATACATCTTTCTGTGTAAGTGATTGTTACTTTACCAAGACTCTGCCAAATTTATGATGATTTTGATGACTCCAGAACCTTGCATTACACACCATTACTTACATGCTATATGATCAACTTTTCTGATCCATTCCACACCTTTTCTTTCACAATGCAATCGCATTACCAGAACTCAAGTTTATCTTTAAATAGGTACCGGCAGGAAGGAAATCGTTGAATGTGTGAGCAGTGGCGGATCCAGCGGGCGGGAAGAGGGGGGGGGGCCAATCCGTGAGAAAATATTAGTTGCGACTCAGCAACCGGTGAATAAGCGGGAGGGGGGGTGTAGGAGGCACTTTTTTTTTTTGGTCCAATTTTTCAGGAAATATTTTGCGCCGACTCAGTCAGCCGGTGAATAAGCGGGGGGGGGGTTGACCTGTCAGCCGCCCCCCCCCCCCTCCCCCATCGTGGATCCGCGCCTGCAGAGGATCCAGACGGCGTCAAGGGGGGGGGGGGTAGCCAAATCTTAATACAAAATTTAGTACCGACTCAGCCGGCCGGCGAATAAGCGGGAGGGGGGGGGCCGGGCCGGAATAATCGCTACGTGGATCCGCCCCTGTGTGTGAGCACTGATACAGTAGCCTAACAGAGCCGGGGGGGGGGATATAGAAGCGCCTTGAGGACCTAACGAGGTGGCGTGGTGGATATATGCGCTATACAAATATCAAATATTATATACCCCTTTTTAGAAATCTAGCCATCTGATTGGTCAAAATTGGAGTCGTGTTTTAGCCATTCCCATAAAGAAACGAACAATGCCAGTGACGGTCAATAGTTCATGAGTGAGATTCCCTAAAGATTCCGAGTACGGAAAAATAGTAGATTTTGATGAGATCCCCATTGGTTAACGTGTTAACATTTTCTTTGTGCTAGCGCGGACACCATACAGTGCTCTTTGTCTGCGATTCCCAAATGATTCAGTCATCTTTCAAGCGAAGATTAACAGACAGTGTCTCAAATTTTCCCTGATGTTTTAACCAATCTTTAATCAAGAAAAAGATAAATAAGAATTCTTGATAGAGTTTTGTGTCAATTCGGTAAATAACAAACATATCGACTGCTTTAATATTCCAGGCCTGGCTGTTGGTTCTCGGGGACCTGCCATGAACCCGATGCGCGCCTGGACAGCCAGACCTCTCAAAGCAGTCGATATATCTGTATTGTTATTTTCATCTAGATATTGTAATGTTAAATTAAAGTGGAACCTGGTTATAACAAACTCCTTGGAACCTGGTTATAACAAACTCCTTGGAACCAGTGGAATTACCTTGTTTTATAACTTTCTTATTTTAATAATAATAATTATTATTAGTTATGTTAAATTAAAGTGGAACCTGGTTATAACAAACTCCTTGGAAGTAGGGAAATTACCTTGTTTTATAAGTTTCTTATACCAATGTTTCTTTATAACGAGGTTCCTCTGTAATCATAAATCATTGGCCTAATTGATCTAAACAATTTTATAATATAAAATATTAAAAGAGTGATTACGTTGACAGTTGCTTAGAAGGATACAGTCACCGTTTGGTCCTCTGACGTAACCGTTATCGTTGTCGCAGAGACACAGTGATAGGCACAGATTCGCACAGCGAACTTGTGGAACGCCCGCACATGTTGCTTCTCCGCAATGAGAACTGCATACCCTATACACTTCTCCTTCGTTGATACATTGGCCAGGAACTACAATAAGGGAGGAAAACGGCATTTCAAGGTTATGTTATGTCATTTTGTTTAAATCAATAATATTCACATCCATCGAGATTTCAACACATATAAGGGACTTTTAGATTTGCACGTCGACATAGTGGACTGCTACGTGTGACGTAACATTGCCTTAAAAGGACGTCACACAATCTAAAAGTCCCTGTAATCCAGCTAACAGTGGAAGTTACGAACTGACTTCAGCCGAGGACGCAGGTTCGAAACTGAGTCACGTATTTCGGATGGTGACGTTAAAAGTCGGTCCCAAGCCGTAAATAATCATACCTGATTGATACACGTCTGTAAATACCCAACTTTACACACACACTGTGACACACCCATAAAAGTCCCTATTTCCCAGTAGAGGGAGGCAATAGAGAGGTGGCCACTAAGGCATGTTCTACTGTATGTGTATGTGTATGTAAATATATGAAGAATGGTTACTCTTCATAACATAAATAAACCCAATAAATGTGAGCTGAAGTTCGAGCAGGCTTATATTATTTTCGGTACACAATAAACTACTTACGTGTACATTGCTCTTCTTGAATACATCGATTGCTCTGATCGCGGATGAATCCATTGGCGCTGTCACAGAAGCATCCAGGTTGACACCTCTTAATGCAGACTCCTTTTCCTCTGTCTCTCTCGTCACATGAAGGCTCACCACAAGGCGAGCCACATGCATTGAAGAACTCGCCTTCACCATCACATCTTGCTAAGGAAGCCGATCCAATAAAGGAACGAAAAGTTTCAGAAAGAAGAGAAGGACGAGAATGAAAAAAATATATAATCAGGAATTGAAGATGTACTAAAAGAATAAGAAGGTTAATTGGAGATTCATACAATACCTACAATTTACTGAGGTTTTCATCTTTTATAGTAAGGTGATAAAGGAATTTAACCAAATTTGAATAATACACAAAGCATAAATGAAAATATATGAAGAATGGTAATAAACCCACTAATAATTATGTGAGCGAATGTTCGAGCAGGCCTATACAGGCACGTAGCCAGAGTTTGGTGTTTAGGGGGGGGGGGGGAGGCACATACATGTAATCGATCGAGGTAAAAAAAAAAAAGGGGTCTAAAAAAGGTTCAATCGATCTTTTATATTTAGGGGGGCACCCCCCCCCCCCCCAAGGCTACATGCCTGGGACTATATTAGTTTGGTACACAATGAACTACTTACGTGGTGGACATTCATTTTCTTGAATACATCGATTGTTCTCATCGCGGATGAATCCATTGGCGCGGTCACAGAAGCATCCAGGTTGACAAACCGTAATGCAGATTAATTGTACTCCCCCGTTTCTCTTGTCACACGAAGGCTCCGCACCACAAGCTGAACCACATGCATTGAAGAACTCGCCTTCACCATCACATCTTGCTAAGGAAGCCGATCCAATAAAGGAACGAAAAGTTTCAGAAAGAAGAGAAGGATGAGAATGAAAAAAATATATAATCAGGAATTGAAGATGTACTAAAAGTTAAGAAGGTTAATTGGAGATGCATACAATACTTACAATTTACTGAGGTTTTTATTTAACACTTGTTGGATGGAATATCCTTATCAGCACAAGTGCTGTTTATTATAGGGGTCCACGGTTAAAATTCGATATTCGACTCACTATCATTAGTAAGGTTATAAAGGATTTTTTTAAAGCCTAATATTCACACCCATCAAGAATATAGTCAAAGCTATCTATTAACGCCACCCAAGGAAACAACAAAACGAAACAACTGTACTAACATGTGGCCGTTCTAGCAAAGTTTTTCAACACATATAAGAGACTTTTAGATTTGCACGTCGACATAGTTGACTGCTACGTGTGGCGTAACATTGCCTTAAAAAGGACGTCACACGTAGCAGTCAACTATGTCGACGTGCAAATCTAAAAGTCCCTATTTCCTTCTAGAGGGAGGCAATAGAGATGTGGCCACTAAGGCATGTTTTACTGTATGTGTTCATGGTGTAGGATGAATCAGATGTTATAGGGTGAACAAAAATTGAGCATTAATAAATGTAAATATATGAAGAATGGTTACTCTTCATAACAATAATAAACCCAATAAATGTGAGCTGAAGTTCGAGCAGGCATATATTATTATCGGTACACAATGAACTACTTACGTGGTGGACATTCATTTTCTTGAATACATCGATTGTTCTCATCGCGGATGAATCCATTGGCGCTGTCACAGAAGCATCCAGGTTGACAACTCTCTATGCATTCTCCTTTTCCTCTGTCTCTCTCGTCACATGAAGGCTCACCACAAGGCGAGCCACAGTCATTGAAGAACTCGCCTTCATCCTCACAACTTTCTAAGAAAGCCGGACCAATACAGAAGGGTAAAGTTTTAGAGAGAAGAAGAGGATGAGGATGGGGAAAATGGGAAATTAAGACTTATTACATGTTTAGAAGGTTAATGGGCAGGGGCGTCGATTTGTATCCGTGGATACAAATATTGATGATAGGTGCCAAGATATTTTCGGCAATGGATCAAGGCAACCGAGAGGTAGAAGCGTGTGGCAGGTTGCACCCCCTCCCTTCCAAGTTATCAACTTTTTCAAGTCACCCTTAATAAAGATAACATTTCATAGAATATAAGAGTAGTAATAAAATTAACAACATGCTAAATGTTAGTCCTGACTCTTGCCTGCAGTGTAGGCCTACCAGACTGATATCATCTATTTTTTAAACGAAATTTAGACATAACCACAAACAAATCCAATGGTGAGGGATATCAACTTGTGAAAGTATTTTGTTACCAGTGGGCAAATGCATTAATAAGCAACCAGGAAAGGTTCATGTAGACGGAAAATTCTTTATTTCCTGGTGAAAGAAACATACATTTTATGAATATTGATGTCTCCAAACAACATTCATCGTGAAAAACCCATTCCAATATTCTGTGTAAGGAGTATGAAAAACATATTGCTTTTGGTTCTTCATTTGACTCTATCTTCCTTCTTTAATTAAACCAACTGAATCCTCTCTGCGGGAAACTCAATTCAATGAAAAAGAATATCACTGATGCCAAATTTGGTTCTAAAAATGACAGAAAATTTCCACTCCTGATCTCATACAAACTGTCTGTTTCTTAAAAGTATAATATAAAACTTACGTTCCAACTACCAAACAACAAACTTCCATTAACTCCTTCTTCACCCAGATATACTTATCATACCAGATACGCTCTAAAATATAAGCATATCATTTCCCTAAGGCCCTGACCAGAGCACTGTTTTTTCCCCCAAAAAACACCTTAACTATCTTATGCCTGTTACGTTTGAATACAATACATATGCCTATATCAGCTTTTCAATAAAACAAAAATAAGTTGTGACATAACAATCTTTCTCCAAAATATCGAACTGGAGTATTCTGTTGTATTGCTTGTTTATGTACATACAAAGAACTTATTTTCAAGAGGCACTAGATCCATGTGTGTTACTTAAGAAAACACTCTTTGTTTACCCAGCTTTGTTCAGGTGTCTATGGAAAATTGGTATTAAAAGATGCATGTGTTCATAATTTCTCTCGTAATTTAGGTTAATAAATTTGTTCAAGGTAAATAGAGAAAAATGTATCTCCATTTGCTATCAAAATATTTTGCTCCTTTCGGAAAATAGCTCTTCAAATGCTTTACATGTAAAGATATAAATAAACAGAAAAATGGATGAAATCAATAAAACAAAATAGATACTGAGTATGAATCAGGGAACAAACTACATGCTGCCATTTGGACAAAAACCGTCTTTCTCTTTTTTTTCCTTTTCTCTTCCCCCTTCCTTTTTTCTTCTGCCCGTTTCTTCCCCTTTTCCCTTTTCCCAGGTAGCAAGCCCATATGGGGCCATATGGGGATGATCTCGGTCACTTAATTGTGCCATCTGGGCTATTAATGGAAGCCATTTGTGTATCCCATATGGTGCCAACATTTAGTAACCCATATGGGATTTATCTGGGCCAGCCCTTATGGGTCCCAGATGGGAATGAGCTGGACGTACACATATGGGTAGAATATGAATATGCCCATATGGGTAATAAACACATGGGGAAAATCTGGGTTAACCCACATGGGTACCAGATGGGATAAAGCTGGGCATACCCATTTGGGCCCGGTTTGGTATGTCTTATATGGGGTTACCAATATGGGTCCCATATGCTTCTTGGGTGCAGATGCCTTAGGGCCCCAGATGGTTTTCTATATGGGGCCCATGTTTCAGAGAATATGGGACCCATGTGGGTCCCACATGGGCTTGCTACATGGGTTATTATCCTCTCTGTCGCTCATTATCTCTCTCTCCCGCTCTCTACTTCTTTTTTGCACTTTTGCGCTTCGCGCTTAACATTTAGCTCATTGCTTTTTAACGCTGCGGCTTTGCATTTGGCGCACTGCATTTCTATGATGCTGTTGATTGAATAAATTGAATAAATTCATCATTCCTGATGAAGTAGTATGGGAGATTATTCAATTTATTCTTGTCTCATATACGGTTGTCTCATTTACTTCGTTTTCTATTTATATGTGTATGTATTGTGAAAATACATCTATAATGATGTTCATCTTGCGAGTAATAACCATTAACTACTCTCATCAGGCTCTCATCATTAATTTTTCTCTCCATTTTTCATTTTTGATGATGAATTATCGGGGGGATGATTGTACAGGCCATCCCCCCACATGAAATATTGGGGGTGGGGGAGATTGAATTGGGCTCTGGGTCATTGTTGACTACTTAGAAGTGCGACGTTAAATATCTTTCGACCGGATTCCTTACCTTAGTTTTAAAAGTAAAGCCAGTCAAAAGGAAAAGATCTGGTATGCATTAATGTATTTCAGTGGGAAAATTGGCACTGTTTCTCCGCAATAAGCTGCTTAAACCAGTTAACATTGCCACACAAATGGAGTGGTTGGAAGGGCAATTGAGGCTTGTTTAAAACTTTCTGGTCTATATCTGATCTAAGGAGAATTGTAACAGTTTAACCCTAAAAAGGCCGGGTTAGTTTGGTACTCTCTCAGCCGAGGGGAAGGATGGGGGGGGGGGGGAGCGGTACTCCTTTGGAAAACTCCGTTATCATTAATACAAATAATGACAAATAATAAACATAGGATTTTCACAAGAACAAAATCATGAATATTTTGCATCCACACTGTAAAAAAGAATTTGTTCATTGGTAATTTTTACGTATTTTTTCCATGTAGAATTTACTTGAAAACATTAGTTTTGCCACTTACGCACTAAATTTAAGTCTTGCTAACTCAAACTTTCAATTTAGTAGAACATACGTGGAATATTTAAGTAAAATCAAATACATAAGAACTTTAAGTAATTTCAGCTTGTATTAATTTAGTAATTTTAACTCAAAATCAGAAATTATACGTATTACTCAAACAATTTATGTTGATTATTCTTATCTTTTTAAAGTAAGGACCGATGCAGTGCGTAATAGAAATATTTACATAATTTATGAATATTCATTATGACCAAAATTAAACTCTTTTTTAAATAAAACAATTCTTTTTTTGTGGTTGAATGAAAATTTAAGGACTTTAAAACATTTACTAATTCATTTAATATGGCTAAGCAAAGACAAGACAATTTTTAATTGATACCCAGTTCAAAACAAATCAAAACTTAATATTTAAGGAAATTGTCAACCAATTTTCCTTTTAAGATGCTACGATCAAGTATATATAACATTTGGAGCCTTTCAATATGTGTCGAATTGAATCGTATGTAATAGTTTGTGATGGTGGTAGGTATATATAAACGGTTAAATCTTAAATAGAAGCAGTGAATGATTAGGGGATGTTACTTGTTAGATTAGATGGGTATCAAATCGTACAATATGTAATCCTATCATAGCTTTTTTTAATTATCTAAAATGATTACAATACTTAAATTATTTACGTTAATGTAACTCGATTTAATTGAGTAAAAATTTATTCAGCAAAATAAGTAAAATCCTACTTAAGATGCCGTAGGTAATATTTACTTAATAAAAATAAGGCAATTCTTTTCCTCAATTTTATTGAGTTATTTCGACTATTATTTTTTTTACAGTGCATACCTTGGCACTGATCCAAGGGTATGCAGTGGTCTCCGCCATCTCGATCCTTGACCAGTCCTTCTGGACAGAAGCACCCAGCAAAACAGAACAGAGGACAGATATCATTGGAAAGGTTATCACAGCTGGACGGACCACAACCTGAGCCACACTCGTTAAAGGTCATACCCTCGGGGCATGCAGAACAGTTCACTTGGACGTCATCAACGTAAAAATCAGCGTTACATCCGCCGCAGTAGTTTGATCTGTAAAATGGGAAGCAAATTTAAAGGTATAAAGACCGGTTCTGGTCATGCCATTGTATTGTGAAATAAACGTTGTGAAATCGATCAGAAAAGGTTGATCATCTACCATATTACTGCAAAGTTCTAGAATCATCAAAATGATAAGAAATTTGGACCACTCTTGGTAAAGTTACAAGCACTGTACACAAAAAGATCTATAGTGGACTACGCGACACGTGCGCGCTTTCTATCCGGTCCGGATAGATATAATAATTTACCAAGTATCGTCGGCCTTATGCCAAAGGAGCCTTAACTGCTTTTGGCCATTCCGAGATAATCGCGTTTGAAGTTTTGACCCAGGCGCGGATCTACGGGGGGGGGGGGGGGTTAGGGGGTTCAAACCCCCCCCCCCCCCCCCTTGGGCGGCCAAAAAAAAAAAAAAAAAAAAGAACGCACGCTGGAGAGAAACCCTTTCAAGTGCAAATATTGTGAGAAGATATTCAACTCATCTGGTAACTTAACCAAACACATGATAAAAAGGCTGGATATAACTGTGTATTAAGCTGTTACTTGATTTTAAAAAGACGTTATCATGCACTGCTTTTTATGGTCTCCATTGTGTTAATAGATGCCAGGAAAACATCACTTACGGGGTTCAAATAAACACCCCAAAAAAAAATCGGCTCGCCGCTACGCGGCTCGTGGACGATGCTCTGCATCGTCATTATTTTGGTCAAACCCCCCCCCCCCCCTTAGCAAAAAGCTAGATCCGCCCCTGCTGACCTCTCTAATAATCAAAAATTTGTGGTCGTTTTTTGTTGTTTTTGAAGTCAATTTTGATAAATAAGTTTTACATGAAATGTGTTAAATTTGTTTTAAAATATTCAGAAGTTTTCATGCTATGTGCAAAAAACACGTTAGGGGCTTTTGGGAATATGGCTTTAATGTAGCGTATTTATGCCAGAAGGGCCGTAACCTATACGTGGCATTATGCCAAAAGGGCAGTAACCTACTTAACCTGCCGTTACCGTACGCGCGCTTAGTTAGCGCACTTCTGGCATAACGACATTTTCTTGTTTCGCAACACCTTTGGTTTGCCAGAAAGCCCCTGCTACGGCTACTGGATCACGAAAGCTGATAAAACAGATTAATCAAAATGTTAGAAATAGTATTTTTGATATCTGAATATTTTTATTAATATAATGCAGCTTTCGGTAAAGTTATTTTTAGAGATCGTACATTTAGGACACCTTTTTCGTTGTTTATTTTCATTACAGTCCCATACGTTGACATCTACGTTCATGATCTAAATTCATGACATATACGTTCAGTGATTATTGTTAGTACATTGTGTCTGTTGTAACGGACCAGTCCGTTACAATTAGTTATCTTGCAGAAAACGTAGAGGGCGTAGTAAGCTTTTGGGGCGTAAGAGTTCAGAGCGCGATTACGGACGCACCATGCGTAAAGCAGCTCTCGGAGACTATAAATAGCGGTGTTATACCGTGATTTCGTCACCTCTACGCTGGCTCTCGTCGTAGTTAGATAGCGAACTCTCCGCTCCGCTCCAACTTAGCGAAAATAAGGAAGATGATTGGAAACGAGAAATAGAGTTCCTACAAAAGGAAATCCCTGCTTTTTTACTACTTCAGAGATTAATCCAGGTTATTGGTGTCGGTGTTAACTGTGATAACGTGTTGGAGATGTTGACTCATGTTTGTATTATTATAGTATACAGTTAAACAATCCATCGTTTCATAACGTGTAATTAGTTGATTCTCCATAGACTGACGTAATATAACCCTCTCATAGAGAATACACATCCAGCTATCCAAAACACCTCTCATCTCCACACCCATATACTTTGGGAAAACGGAGCCACGTCCGGGCCTCTAAACTACTAGCCAAATAGAAACCGCTCGCATTATTCAGGATGGCAAACTCTTCGTCAGATGACGGCGATAGAGGCAAGGGACAGGCCAGCCCTCCAGCATCCAGGACCCGTTCTAAGATGGAGGGCCGTTACACTATTGTAGACGAAGCATGTTTTGTAATGGTATTTCTACTGATATGTATAATTGAATTAAATGGAAATTACGAAATAATCTGTCATTGATAAAAAAAAAAAAATATAAAAAAAATTGCCGTGTGGTTAAGGCCCTTTTGGCGTAAGGAAGAAGATGAGGTACGCGTTAAGGGCTTTTTGAAATTCATAATTATCTTAATAAATAAATCGAATTTGAAATGAAGCACATCATTTTAAAGAGAATGTTGAAATTTAAAAGGTGATGTTAATAACTCAATAACCCCAAAATCAGGTCAAGGCCTTTTCGGCTTGAGGCCGACGATATGTCAATTAGTAGACGGTTTCCCGGCAAAATATGTATCATCACGTATTAGTCAAAACATATTCTTTCACATGATTGGTAATAAGAGCTTCCATTTCATTTTTTGAGAGGGGGCGTTTCCAAAACTAGTTTATACCTTTAAAGGAAAATAAAATCTTAATGAAAACAGCTCTTAAAATCATGTTTAGATTAAAGCAGAAGAATTAGAAAAGCAGACTAGATTTAGTCCGAATGACAGCGAAAAAAAGAGAGAAAGTTATGCAATTTGAAAGTTGAAATCACTATACAACATACATTGGTAGTTAACTGCGTGATATCTAAAATTAATACAGAACATACTTTAATGCGAAACAGTGTATGCTTACCGGCACTCAGCATCAGGGTTAGCGGAACACACGGAATAATCACAAGGGTTTACGAAACAATTCACGATAACGTCATCGCAATCGTCTACAAAAAATGAAGCCAAATAAAAAAAATATTGGTAAAAACAACAACAACTACAGCAAAATCCCGGTTTGGGGTTTTGGGGGCGACGGTCGCTGTTTTGAGTTGGAAAAAAAAGTAAACAAATTTTTTTAAATCCGACCAATCGACCCATGATCTGGCACCTAAATGGCAATACAACATTTTTACTTTGTTTAGGCCTTATGTTTGAATTTCAAATCCGATACGTTAACCTGACATTTTCTCCTGCGACGATTGTTCTGCGTTTGGTTTTCGTGAGAGTACGTAGGCCTATATGTTTAGGGAAAGGGGCTGATGTAGAGTGTTGGGGCCAGGGTTGCAGAAATTGTTTCTTGTAGGAAATCGAAGCAGGACAAGTTTAAGAAGACATGTGGTACAACACTCCGACATAATGTAGATTGAACTTGAAATAGGCTTTGGGTCATTGTTGACAAGTTGGAAGCTCGACGCTAAATATCTTTCGACCGGATTCCTTACCTTAGTTTTAAGCCAGTCAAAAGGAAAAGTTCTGGTGTGCATAAAGGTATTTCAGTGGGGAAAGTGGCACTGTTTCTCGGCAATAAGCTGCTTAAACCAGTTAACATTGCCACACATTAATGGATTGATTGGAAAACTATGGCATTTGTGAAAATGTTCGGGGATGACAATCTATTCCTAAAGTTTACAGCAATGGCACATGTATACTGAGGCAAATGAGACTTGTTTAGAACTTTTTGGTCTATGTCTGATCTAAGGGGAATTGTAACAGTTTAACCCTAGAAAGCCGGGTTAGTTTGCTACTCTCTCAGCCGAGAGGAATTGTTGGGGGGGGGGGGGGTCTCCTTTGGAAAACAGAGTTATTATTAATATTATTGCATTTCACATACATAAAAATAATAGACATAGGATTTCCACATGAACAAAATCATGAATATTTTGCATCCATACCTTGGCACTGATCCAAGGGTATGCAGCCGTAGACGAGAGTCTTCATGCATGGCTGATTGTCAACGAAACGGAGTTAAGTCTTTTGTCAAATCTGCTTTTTTTTTCTACGGCAGGCACCCAGTGAAAACGAATTCGTTTGTTAAAATTATGAAAATGTAAGGGCTACTTTAAACAAACAGAACTTTGTTATTCCTCGCTCATTTTTCCTGATTGAGGTGCCATATGAAAGGGCAGGAACTCAACTTTCTAGAAATGTGAATTTTTCTTCGAAATTCAGATACCGCCCGCCAATGTCTTTTTGGTTTCCTTCCTTCAAATTGCTTTTAATCACTCATGCGTGAAATATGCATCATCTGAGTAGCATCAACTGAAAGAAGATACTCTAAGCTTTCCAAAATAATATGTATCATTCATTAATTATGGTTGTGATTAGGTTATGATAAAACATCGATACTTCTCGGTTTCGTTTTTTCTGGGACGCACTGTATATGCTATGGTCACATTAGCCAAAAGTTGCCTGCTCGGCGGCCGAGCGGCGAGTTTTTAACCAATTCTGCCCGGCGGCTGCCCGGGCACCGAGCGGCGGCCGACCAGGCACCGCTCGTTTTTAGGGCATCGCCCGGTCGCCGCTGAAGTTTTAGCGCGGAGTTAAAATTTGGGCGGCGCCTGCTCACTTTTCACTCGCCGCCCAAAATACGCCCGGTGCCTGGGCGGTCGCCGCCCTGGCACCGACCTAATCGCTGGGCGATGCCTAATTCCAGCAGCGACCGAGCAGGCTACTGATCGGTCGGTCGCTGCTCTGATTTGTGACCATAGCTATAGAGGGCGCAAGTAGCTAAAAGTTGTGCAGTTGGGCTTAACCTAAACAAACAATGACAAAAATACGCACCTTCTATTTAAAGATACTATGTCCCATTTGCAGGCCAAAAAAATGAAAAAGTTAAATTCCAACTGCATTTGAAAGATAATACTAATTTAGAACTTCCCTAAAAAAGGTGGGGCTTGAAAAGGTCTTCAAGTGGGAAAATAACGACTATTAGTTGTCAAATCGACTTTAGGGCTATAGAGCCCAAAAGTAATAGTCTTGATTTTCAGACAATTGTACCGAATGGTCATACGTTTTATGCTGCGCAAAGATTCAATCAGATTAATCTTGGCCATCACAAGAAGTGGGTTATTGATGTAGACAAATGCTCATGTATCCTTTACAACTCTTTTCATGTATGTTATTACCAAAGAAGAAAAAGCCAGTCAGTCACTCAATAGTGTCGGACAGTGAAGTCTAGCAAGTAAACGGGTTTCCTTGCATAATTTGAATATGAGGACACTGCTAACGTTTAAATTTCACAGATGGGACATACATGACATATTCATAATTCCTGCAAAGTTCTACAGCATTTGAGGTTGGCTGCAAAAGGGACATAGTACCTTTAACACAAAGTGAATATGAAATATGTATTTTGCGGTAGCTTGTTTTGAATTGTCATATTCTTTTTTTTTTTAATTAATTTGTTGTTTTGACTTGTTTTGGGGTTGTTTTCTACACTAGAGAGCCTGGATACTATATTTGCGAATAGTTACATGTAATCGGAATGAGGAAAACAAATTAAAGAATATCCATAACATCAACAGTTTTAAAGATGAGCAAAGAGGGAGTCATAGATTTACAGAGACTACTTTTCAGTTCTTAACAGAGTGCGATTCAAAATTTCATTGATTAGATATGAAATAATTAATTATTTATAATAACAACAAAAAACAGTGATAACGATCAATAATTTAAAACGTGCAATTCTCATGGAAGCCCAAGGAGAAAATCAATACAACTTGCAATGGGTGTACAGGACACGGGGATGTTGATAGATATACCCCTTCCCCGGTTGGGCATATATTTCGCCCCCTTACTAACCAATTTGATTAAAATCAACTGATCTACTGGTTTACAGTATAGTTGAAATGTCTATTTAGTTAGTATGTAAATTGAAAATTTCTAATCAGAAGGTTGCAAGCGAACAAGGGAGGATAACAAAATGTGCTTATTTGCATGATGCAATTGCCTGTCTTATTATTATGACTTCATGAAAAGATTTATTTTACAAAAGGGCAAATCCTAAGTATTTGATCATTTGGTGTCCCCTACATCACAGAGTATTGTAGAGTTCTGGGCCCCGTCTTACAAAGAGTTGATATCAATCGTAACTTAATTGCGATTGATATCAATCGTAACTATGTACATAAGAGATAGGAGACTCACAGACTTGCGATTGATTGGAGGACTTACGATTGATTTGGATCGATCGTAACTCTTTGTAAGACGGGGCCCTGTTCTACCGACATCAAACGAGTCTCATATTTTCACATATTTTCACATGTTGGTATGATGAAAAGAATTTCCATTTTCGGTTTAACTAAATAAAAATTTGGAGTGGACTTTAACAAATTATTATTATTATTATTATTATTATTATTATTATTATTATTATTATTATTATTATTATTATTATTATTATTATTATTATTAAAGCTCTAATACTAATGGAATGCTCCCCAGGGAGTGGAAAATGTACATAAATTATATTGTGTTGCGGGTAAGCCTGAATCCGATGGCCTGGGTAATGATAATATGTGCTGCGCCTAGAAACAAAGTATTAGACGCATTATAAATGTGAACTATTATTATTATTATTATTATTAATAGGGCTATTAACCTGACACAACCATCAAGTGTATACTAAATCTTAGATGTAGTTTGTGACGTATGGAACAATAGCCTGGATTAACCCAATATCGTTATCTAATAGAACTATCTCTGAATAAGTAATCATTTCCCTTTTTGAGCATGCTGAAAAAAAGAAAATGAAACTTACCGTTTGCTTCTGTTGATAGGGCTAGTAGCCCCACCAAGACAAATTGAAAGAAAATTGTGGCTACCATCTTAAAGTCACGCCAGGCAATTCATTCACTCTGAAACGATTTGAGTTAAACCTACATTGTTAAAGAATGCATACATGGGGCGGTATTTATTGCTCAATTTCTCAACTTTCAGAGTTTTTGTTGTTGTCATGTTTAAAAAATGTACAATTATATACTTAAAGAGATAGTTGAGTTTTTGTTTCAGACCGCAAATGCCTTCAAAGTGCATGGTTATTGGTCTTTTTCTTATTTATGACATTTCTAGTCCCCTTTTAGGACCTAAAATTGCTATGAAGGTAATTTTAGACCCAAAATGTGTGAAATTTAGCCAATACGATCACACCAATTCAGCTCTACTTTTTAAAAAATACGGTGACCGTTAATCAATTAATAAATTAATTAATAAAAATACATGGGCCGGATGGTTGTGCGTATTATTACCTACATTTAAAAGCCAACAAAAAGCCAACATCGGTATTGGCTGGAATAAAACGTATAAGGCGCTTTTTCATTTTTTCAACGGCTGGTTCAAATTATTTAATATATTTTGTGGTGGTACACAAATATTAGAAATGGTTATATTTATGGATATTTCAGCCGTCTCTGAACCGATTTTGATCAAACATAGATGATTTTGTCATTTAAATTGTATGTTCTTTCAAATTTGACACTCAGTTTTTCATTATCTCACCCAAAAAAATATTTTGTGTAGCACCCTCTGCAACAGAACGCAACTATCCCTTTGAGAAGATCTTAAAACTTAAACAAGTTATAACAATTACCTGTATTAATAAGTTCATATTTTAGGGCAAAAAGCGAAAGTAAAATGCAGTCTATTCCCTTCGCATTATGTATTATAAACAATGTCTTGACTGGCTGTCTTAAAGATAAAGGTGAGTTCTGGTCATGCGATTGCATTGTGAAAGAAAAGGTGTGGAATGGATCAGAAAAGGTAGATCAGGGGCGGATCCAGCCGGCGTCGAGGGGGGGGGGCCCAATTTGTGAGAAAATATTGAGCGGCGCGTCAGAGCCGCGTTCCGCGCTTGCGCGGACAGGGAAAGCCTGAGGGGGGATGTGTCCCCCTAAAAAGCTGAAGAAAAGTCGAATTTGTGAACTCAATTTGTGCGATTTTGTGTATACTTTTTGCCAGGATATCATTTAAAATTTGTGACTTTTTCCAGCATAAATTTATGATAGGAGGAAAAGACTGTAAACACAAGAAGTGGGACTATGTGTGCAGTCCGCCCGTTGTGACAAAAAGTCTTTAGGACACTGGTATTCATGGCACCGGTACCTCTAGGCAGGCGCGTACGCAGGGGGGAGGGGGGGGGGAAGGAGGGGTTTGGGGGTTAAACCCCCCTTTAGTTTTTTTTTTAATGTGAGTATTTTAGAACAACTCCCCCCCCCCCCCCTTCGGCGATTTTTTTTTTTTTTTTTTTTTTTTTTTTTTTTTTTTGCCCGATTTCAAAATGTTAAATGTTAAATGTTAAACACTGCCTCTAGGTGTAAGTGTTTAATATTGATATATGAATAACTAAACACAACAATGATTCCCTCATCAAGATCAGGAGTCCATAAAGTATATCTTTTATCCTTTTTATTTCATTTCTAAACAAGATCTTCAATTGCAACAATGTTGACAACCACAATTGACACGGTACAGATTCCTAATACCTCGGGTATCACTTGATTGTCAAAATCAGTCAGTACAAGACTAGTGCAGCAGTTGTGATGGGCAGACAGCAATAACTTGATTCGGGCTGCAGCTTTAAACACCTCACATCAGGCCCCGGTGAACGTTTTTCAAAGTAGGGGGGGGCTAAAGTAGGTAGAGCGTAGCGTAAACTGGCGTAGGGTCCAGGGGGCGGCGCCCCTGGAAGCTCGGAGGTTTGAGCAGGCCAGGGGCAAATGAGGTCATTCAAAGGGTGTGGGGGGCATCAACAATAAAGGGCACTTTCCGGGAGAAAGGGGCACCTACCTCAAAGCGAAAATTTACAGTTTTTTTTAGACATTGGTATATACCCCTACAATGTGATTACAGGGATGGTTTCAATGTCTGTTTCTCTCTTAACATGGTTCATACTGTTCAAGCATCACAAAGTTACTTTGTAGTTGGTTTGTGATGGTAAGAATAATTATTGCGAGCGAGCGAAGCGAGCGAGCAAAAAATTTGGATTTGTGAGGTCGCAGTGAAAAAAATTACATCTTATAAAGGTGTCGTGGACGAGTGGATATGTCACCGGACTGTGGATCACAAGGTTCGCGGTTCAAGTCCCACCGCGGCACTAATGTCCTTTGGCAAGACATTGATCTACATTTGCCACTCTCCACCCAGGTGTTAAATGGGTACCCGGTTGGATGCGAAAGCTAATGTGGTTAGATTAGCAAGTGTGCGCTTGTAAAAAGGACGCCTGGCTAGAATGCTCCCCAGGGAGTGGAGAATGTGCATACATTGTGTGCGGGTAAGCCTGAAACCTATGACCGGGGTAATAATATAAATATCTGTAAAGCGCTTTGAGAGGGCCTTCGGTCCTGAAAAGCGCTATATAAGAACTAGCTATTATTATTATTATTATTTTAAAAAAATCCTGATGGGGTTTTAAGCACAATCTAATCATGAAAGACTGAAAAGATCTTTAATATGAGCCATAATCATATCAACTTTAAATACGAGCGAGCGTAGCGAGCCACACTTGGGTGAAATTAAAAAAAAGTTCCTCTTAATCCCTTTAAATTAGGAGCACTTTTTATAGGGAAAGGAAAAGGGGGCACATATCCAAAGGGGAAAATAACACTTATTTGAAATGAAAAAGAGCACAAGTCAAAGTAAAAAGGGGAATTACCAGAGGTGAAAATGGGGCACTCCTCGCACTTAATAAGGGGCACTCACCAGAGATGAAAATAGGCACTTATGACAACGGAAAAGGTGCAATTTTCAGAAGGAAAATGGCACTAATCAGAGATGAAAAGGGGCACTTATTACAGACTTAAAAGGGGCACCTCTCAAAATTTAATAAGGGCATGCACTCATCGGAGATGAAAAGGGGCAGAAGGGGCAAAGAACCAAATCTCACGCACACATTATGCAAAAGAGGTGGGTAATTACGTCCTGCAGGACACAACACAAATCCCACGCATCTATCCAATCTGTCCATATAGTGTAACAGTAACAACCCATCTGTGACACTAGTAAACAATGTGCATGAGACTAATTTTATTCGGTATAATTTACATATAATAAATATTATGGGCAGATTGAAAAAGAAAAATTTAGACTGACAGGTCGTCTTCTGTGCACCTGTTCAACTGAATGCAGTGTTTTTACCCAGATTCTGGCGATAAAAATGGGTAATTTTCTGAATAAATCAGGCTTTTACGACCACTTTTACGGATCTAATTTTATGAATCCGCGAACTGCCGAATTTGGAAGCTTTGCCGACATGCTTCATGCCTCCGTGTTTTTAATTTTCGCATTTGCTATTTTTTCGTGCTTTTTTCCTTAATTACGTTTGCTAAGTCGCGCTTTATGTAGATAAAATATGTGGTCTCGCATTTTGCAGGAAAAAAAACTTTTTTCCGGGGCCTTGCCCTTGGTTGGTTTCTTTCTATTTCTCTTTAAAATACTTTTTCAAATAAGATGGGTGGGGCTCGAGCCCCGCCATACCGCGGACCCTGTACACTGTGTAACAGCATGATGATTTGACAGATGGACCTGAAGTTAACCGAGTCCTTAAATACTTTTGAACGTTGTAACTTGTACGCCCTAGTGTAGAGAGTTCATCGGCATTTTGTTTCTATCATAATATATAGGCCTAAAACACGAATTATGGCTGTTTTGACCTTAAAACAATCCAAAGCTCGGCGCATGTCCAGCTGAACCGCGGGAGCTTAGCCTATATACGGATAGGTGAGGGCCCTGGGTCCACTCCTAACTCGTGTTTTAGCCCTTCTTTCTTCCCTTTTCCTTTCCTTTCCTTTCCTTTTCTTTCCTTTCCTTTCCTTTTTTTTCGGGGGGGGGGGCCGGGCCCGTCGGGCCCCCCCCCCCCCGTGGATCTGCGCCTGAGGTAGATTATGTAATATGTTTCATAGTATTGGTGTGTACTGCAAAGTTCTGGAGTCATCAAAATCATGATAAACTTGGCCCAGTCTTGGTAAAGTAACAAGCACTGCATGTACACAAAAAAATGTATATGGGACTACACAAATGATGTCGGGGCTACTAACCTTGATTTTCTAATCTTTCTTTGCTCATTACTCAGCCAGTATACATTTTTTTTACCAAAATTGTTTGGCAATTAATTTGTAATCTTGAACATTCAATGTAAGTTTCGTTTGATTCTGTGAAAATTCATTTTCTTTTCTTTTTTTTACCAGAACTCACCTTTATCTTTAAGTCGATCCTATTTTACCTAGCAATAATTGCTAATATTGCTTATAAAATACCACCTGACCAACATTATTCTATTCAATAATGTTACAAGAAATCCAAATTGTACTTTTGAAGGGGGAAATGTTGAATATAGTTTCGAAATTCTCTCTGTTATTTGACTAATTCATTCTGTGAAATACGGAATTGGAAATCGATTTTCTGAGGAAGTTTTCTTTGCAATATTCTCATCATTTCTATTTATCTGATACCATTTCAAAAGGCTAATTATTTTTCTTTACAATAGTGTCCTTTCATATGTGAACTATTGTGTAAAAAACTTGAAAAGGAGGACGAGTCCAAAAATTTATTTTTTCCTCGACAGTGATTCCTTTTTCGAGTTTGATATTACCATAAGGACTGTTAAAAAATTACTATAATTGCATCTGTTAATTTTGTGAAATTAAAAGTGTATTTTTGAAAATTATCGTCGCTGTTTTCACGAAGTGACGGTAGTGAAAAAAAATTGCATTCACTTTGCGTTACGATTTTCCTCACTACCGTCACTTCGTGAAAACAAGGACGTTATGTCTGAATTGAAACAATCTGTATAACAGAAAATCGACAGTTTTACGGCTTCTCGTTCTTCTTTGTAAGTCAACAAAATTATTGATTTTTAAGGAGACACAGGAAATGAATGAATGGAAGTATCTCAGACCTCAATAGATTTCACTCGAGTCATGGAAATGCACTGATTTGTACTGGAAACAAATGGATTAAGGATATAAAATAAATAACTACATGTATTTTGCTTTTGCTGTAGATGAACAGATTTCCAAAACAATACAAATCATTCTCAGAAATATAGTTGATTTTCATCTTGACATTGATAATTCAATTCATTTTCAATACATATACAAAAAGAGATCAGTTGTAACATAAAACAAATAACCCCATCAAACCAAACACACTACTACCCCCTCCCCCTCCATGCGACAAACGACACACACACACACGCACACACGCATACACGCACCCACACCATCTCCTATTCATCCCCATCAACTTGAACTTGAACTTGCAATTTGTTATCCAATATCAAACACATATACAATAGCGTAAAAGGATATAAAATAAGAAAACGAATCAGGTACCTTCGAATCAAGATCCAGTACTGTAATTATAACAAGAAAGCTTTATAGTAATAAGTTTCTAATATCCATTAGATTATTATAAGCCAGATGGACTTCATTTATAAAATTTCCAAATATATTGTGTAACAAAATGAATATAACACTCTGAATACCAATGTCTATATCAGAATGGTCTTAAACAAACAAAACGGCTAATATATGAAAAGGCACTGTTACCCATGAAATTTTTCTGACCATTTTTCATGAAGTCATTGTCGATAAGGTTCTGAGAACATGAACATGCTATTTATCGAGATTAAATCATATTCTCTCAATCAATTCATGAATAATGGTGATTAATATAACAACTATATGGGCAGCAATGCATATTTTCATCGCGACATTACAGGCTAAGACCATAATAAAATACGTTTCTCCTACCTTAGTCTTGGTTGTTAGTAGAAACAAGTTGCCTCCTATGTCTACCCAAGTTCAAACGAACAATGAAATCCAACGTATTCAAACCAACAATCTGGCAAGGATTTGGGGGTGCTAAAGGGGGTCCGCAGGGTGTGCCCCCCCCCCCCTCCCCCACCACCACCACCAACAACTCATTTACAATATGACCACACGCTGGGAAAACAGTGCTCAGATGTATTAATACAGAAGCACCGACAACCTGTACACCCTCAGCGCCGTCTTATAAGCAGTGCTGATGGACATCTGGAGCGCCATGACTCAAAAGCGAAGACGTCATCGCCATGGTTAAGAAGTATCTTCGGTCATCGGGGGCAACTGAGAAGCACCACCCTTCACCCCCTCCAATCACAGATAATGGCTCCGCCAGTATTTACATCACCTGTGACAGTTGTGCGCATGTCAACCTTGCACCAATCCGGTACATCATTGATCCACATTTCACAAGCATTGTTACAGTAGTTCTTTTCATCATAACATGTTTTTAAAAGCAAATAGCAGAAAACACACTATTTAACAATAAAGATATTGTTATGACACTCAACAAGGTTTGTTATTCATGTATATGGGAAGATAAACACGTGTTGAACTCCGAGACTGGAGTAAGCATAACCTAGATTTAGCAGATGGATTGTTTGTGGTTAATGAAAACAGAGTTCCACGGTTTGAAAAAGGCGGTGTGCTTTCTTCATCTCCTAAGATTATCTCATTCCAATTGTTGTTTTTTCCTCTTTTTTGTTCACTTTCTTTCTCTCTCTATCCCCATTACGCTCTCTGATCCACCATCTCTCTCTCTCTCTCTCTCTCTCTTGCTCTCTCTCATAATCTCCATCATTCTTAACCCACTATGGGTTGTCTATCTGCTCTTCATCTCGATTTCCAAACTATCATCACCTTCCTTCCTTTTTTTTACCATGTATCACACATCATGTATGAAATTAGAATCATCATCATCACTATCATCATCATCATCATCATCATCACTATCACTATCATCATTCTCATCATCATTCTCATCATCATCATCATCATCATCATCATCACTACCACTATCATCATCATCATCATCACTACCACTATCATCATCATCATCATCATCATCACTATCACTATCATCATCATCATCATCATCACTACCACTATCATCATCATCATCATCATCACTATCACTATCATCATCATCATTGTCATCATCATCATCATCATCATCATCATCACTACCACTATCATCATCATCATCATCATCATCATTATAACTATCATCATTATCATTCTCATCATCATCACTATCATCATCATTCTCATCATCATCATTATTCTCATCATCACTATCATCATCATCATCATCATCATCATCATCATCATCATTCTCATCATCACTTTCACTATCATCATCATCACCATCATCTCGTCATAATCATCATTACCATCTAATCATAAATTGCCATTGCACTATTTTCATCACCAACATCACAATCATCATCACTGTCATCATCATCACTATCACTATCATCATCATCATCATCATCACTGGCACTATCCTCATCATTATCATCACCATCATCACTATCACTCTCATCATCATCATCATCATTCTCATCATCATCATCATCATCATTCTCATCATCACTTTCACTGTCATCATCACCACGGCTCGTCATAAATATCATTACCATCATCATTCTCATCATCATCACCATCATCATCTTATCATTCCCATCGTCAAAATTATGATTGTCATAATCATCATTACCATCTGATCAAAAATTGCCAATGCACTATTTTCATCATCATTGTCATCATTGTCATCATCATCATCATCATTCTCTTCATCATCATCATCATCATCATCATCATCATCACTATCATCATCTTATCATTCTCATCATCAAAATTATGATTGTCATAATCATCATTACCATCTGATCATAAATTGCCATTGCACTATTTTCATCACCAACATCACAATCATCTTTACCTCACCATCCTCATCAACATCATCACCACCACACAATCATCATTACCATCATCACACAATCATCGCCATCACTATCACCATCATCACCATCCTCACCACCATCATCATCTTCTTTGTCATCATCACCATCATTATACCATCATCACCACCAACATCTTCATCATCATCATTATCACCATCATCATCATCATCACCACCACCATCATCTTATCATTCTCATCATCAAAATTATGATTGTCATAATCATCATTACCATCTGATCATAAATTGCCATTGCACTATTTTCATCATCATTCTCATCATTGTCATCATCATCATCATCATCATCATCATTCTCTTCATCATCATCATCATCATCATCATCATCACTATCATTATACCATCATCACCACCAACACCTTCATCATCATCATTATCACCATCATCATCATCATCACCACCGCCATCATCTTATCATTCTTATCATCAAAATTACGATTGTCATAATCATCATTACCATCTGATCATAAATTGCCATTGCACTATTTTCATCACCAACATCACAATCATCATTACCTCACCATCCTCATCATCATCATCACCACCACACAATAATCATTATCATCATCACACAATCATCGCCATCACTATCACCATCATCACCATCCTCACCACCATCATCATCTTCTTTGTCATCATCACCACCAACATCTTCATCATCATCATTATCACCATCATCATCATCATCACCACCATCATCATCATCATCATCATCTCCTTTGTCATCATCACCATCATCACCACCAACATCTTCATCATCATCATTATCATCATCTTCACCATCATCATTACCATCATCATCATCTTGTTACTAAGTACAAGTGGCAACCAACTACGTTAACAACATTGTGTTCTGTTTTGTATAGTCATTTATTAAAGCATAAAAGTTATACATTCATGTTTCAACGTCACAGACATAAATACATGACATTTATTGACATTATATTTTCAATAAAACAAACATTACAAAAATCCTCTAACTAAAGCTGGTAGCCTCTTCTAAGAGTCATAAGGGTGTAAGCTCTATCTTAGTAAATACAAGAGTTAACATCCTTCCGGCTCTAAACAGACAACATGACACTAATAAAGCCATAGCCAATTCTAACTTTTAAAGTGAACTTGACCACCTACCATCAATTACTAACAAATATTGTCTATCATAATATTCAACTAATTACATAGGGATTATCAACATCATAAATTCCCCAAAACATCACAATCATTCAAACAAACAAGAGCTTTATATCATTTTTTGTATAGCCATCTGATTACAGTGTCAAATCTACAATAAATTATTTGCATGTTATGGCAGATTTTATAATCATGCAATCACAATGTGGTACATGTTGATAAAAGAAACATGTTTTTTTTTTCATGTAGTATGGATTAACTATGCTATAATTATAATTTCAAACATGAAATGGCATCTTAAACAAAGTGCACTTACATTTACATAAAAAGTTTAAGCTCTACAATAACATGGGGACTTATATTGCACTTTATTATATCGCTAGGTCACTTACAATCATGATAATGATGATAATAATGATAGCAGCAATCATAATGTGCTTTAGATCTAATCACCAGTAACTGTTCCGAGAAGCAGAAGAAATCGAAAGGACCTCATTTTTGTTTAAATTTTGTAAAATTACATTATATCCTATTTGTATGTAATCCAAATATAAATGTTCTCCCAATTGTCTATAACTAGAATTATTCATTAAACATGGTATTTTCCATAACACCATTTACAAAATCTTTACTGCAAAATATATTTCCAATATGCATTGTAGATATATCATAAGCTAAGTCTCTTCCCCCTCACAAGCTCAAACTTTTCAATAGCATTTCCTCAACATAATTAATAAACAAAATAGTTCCACAAATAACTAGTAATAGTGTAAAATTAGAAGCTTAGAAAACTTTTGTGAGTGGATCAAATTGATAGTTTTATACCTTGAAAATGTATCTTTCTACAGAACAAAACCTGAAATAAACCTCTCTCTCATTTTCTCAGTCAGTTATCTGATGCCATACCCTCCTACCATTATTTTTTTGTTATATCGCTTTTGTATTTTGATGATGGTATTACTATAATGTAAATATCTGCTTACTTTGGAAAACATACAATATCAGCTTTGAGCTGCATGTGATGTTCTCTTTTTAATAAAAGAATTTAATTCAATTCAATCAATTCAATATGCTTTGATAAAAAACCTGGCATTTTCCATATACCCTTTATGCATGTCCATTGAATAGAGATGGCTACTGCTGCTGCTGCTGCTGCCAATATCCTAACTTAATCTGTCTTATGATGCATACAACCACTCAATACCATAGATGTTGAGTTCCTCTTCGTCTATCATTTGTATCCGTTCTTGGTAAATCATCATTGTCTATCATTAATCCTTTCCTTGCACCCAAAGACAACTGTCAAAAGAGCCAATTAATTGTTGTCTGAAATATACTGCAACCACCATCAAGGAGAGGAGTAGTCTGTGAATGTTGAATAGCTCCACTTTATAGCATGCTCCTGGAAAGTTCATGGTAAATACTTGTAGTTCTCGTTCTTGGATGGACTAGCGTTGTTCCAGTGATTTGTCTCTAGCAATGACAGAGTCTTCAAACTTGATCATATATGTGGTTCCTTTATGCCAATGAGCTGTCACCTTTGCAGGCTGTAGCAGAAGACAATGAAAAACAGATAAAGAAAGAGGAGAGCAGAGAGAGGGGAGAGATAGGTGAGGTGAGAGGGGGAGAGAGAAGGGTGGGGGTGAGAGGAGACAGGGAGAGGAAGAGGGGAGGCATAGAGGGGGAAGGAGGGGTAAAGAGGGGAAGAATGAGGGTAGAGAAGAAAGTGAGAGAGGGAGGGAAAGAGAATGAAATTAACTTCTTGCTGTCTCACCTAACAACACATAATATGGCTCAATCTGCATATCTCACCATTGAAAGATATGACTCTCTACAGGTGCCTGTATATTATACATCATCACTTTGTATTTGACGAAAGAAAAGATATTACATTTTGAATATATTAACAAATGGCCTCTCCATATCTGTTCCATATTATCTCACAGTGGTATACGTGTATATTCTTTTCATATAATCTACCACTTTGGGGGCTAAACTTTTGGTATATTGTTTGGACTATTTTAACATGTTTAAAACAGAGAAGGTCAGATAAATATTCATAAGCACCTTTTGATTTTCAATGGTAACATGATTGAAACGTAATGTCACCTATAAAACATAGAGGCAATTAACTTAAGTCTAGTCCCTGCACTGGCAGACTGCCTGATGTTTGTAGGCTTGAATACCAAGATCCTCCTACACAATAGGCCTGTCTTCATCTATCTTAATTATCCTGATCGCAAATTAATTCATCAGCATGCAGTTACAATTAGCAGGATATTTGGTGGAGAAAATATCCCAAGAAATCTTGGTCTTGTTTCCAAAATATCCTGCTATTTTGGAAGTAGTAGGCTAATTTGCGCCCGTCCGAGCTAGTTCGTGATGAGCGTATCGGTCTGGTGAAGACGCAGTTTCGAGCTGCGCTTATTTGGCAAACTCGAGCTGATGAAGACAGGCCTATAATGAATCTACCGGTAATATAAACTATTGGGAGAGCCTGAGGGAAAGGGTTTCATTATTCCAAAGTGTTATGATTAGTCAGCTCTACTGCAATACATGAATGTCACAATTTGACACAAAAATGTTTTAAGAAAATATGACTTTGAAGTATGATCCGTTTTGCCTGCGAGCAGTGTTAACCTTTTTGACCTTGTATATTAGAATGTTATTCAGGTATGTACATTCAATCACAATCGGACAATAAAGTAATATAAATTGGTATTATTTTCAAGTTGTTTTTACAAATATCGCTATACAGAGCATCTCCCTCGGAGTGAGATTCATACATGTAAAATGATATCATTACAATGGTCAGTATTATTTTATCATGATATATATCAAAAAAAATTAATTGAATCAATTTCTATAAAATAAATGAAGCAAGTACATGTACCAATATTTTTTTTTTTTTTTTTTTTTTGCATAGAAGCAATCATACTCTCTGTTGAAATCATCTCTATGGGCTGTCCTGTGCACAGAGCACATTTCAAGAAATAAATCCTCAAAGGTACCAACTTCACATCACCTAGATCAAAAGAAATGCAGATTAATATTTTGTAAAATACCACTAGCACTGCTGGTGTGCTTGGGCTTTTGAATCCACTACCTTCTCACCTCCAGCTCATTGTTCTCAGATTTCAACTAAAACACCTATAGGCCTACATGTCAGTGGTCCTAGTACCCATTCAATTATCTGGTAATTTCTAAATAAATGGTAAATTACAGTCATGCAAATATTGCTGCTATTTTTCTTTCTAAGCAGACACTTAAATTCATCAGCTTTGATTACTAAGTACATGTTGATCTTACTAGGGCCATTACAGGCCTAACAGCAATTCACATGTAATGATAACTTACTTCAATTTTGGAAAAGACAGTATTTGAATAGCGCCATCTTGCATCCAGATAAATGACAGTGTAAAGTTAACCTAGTCATGGTCATTGACTTTTCTCAATCACATTCCAGCTTAAAACAAGCAATTTAAATTACTGTTTTTAATCTGTCAACTAGGGAATTTTTTTTCCTTCACCTAGGCTTATATAGAAACCATTCAGTTCCTGGGCAATGGGTTTGATTTCTGCACCTACAAGTAGATATTATAATTTCAAATGAAAGTACATGTACACATTTAATAATGTTTGCCTTTTTAGCTAGCCATAGGGGGCATTTCTTTGCCAAATCTAGTAAATTAATCTTCAACACTTAACCCCACAATTTTCTAAACATTCAATGTGAAACGACAATTGCTTGATTAAGTTTTGGCAAAATCTCAATGATGGAAAAGGGGATGAGGAAAGTTGAAAATATTTTATTGAGTTCAAAAAACAAAATGACGTGTCAAATTGGACCACTGAGATAGGAATGTTTATCAAAATAAATATAGAGCCTGGGGGGGGGGGGGTGTTTCACAAAGATTCAAAGTCGAACTTAACTCTAACATGGACTTAAATATTATGGAGAGCCATTTGTAGCCTAATAATGAAATATTTACAAAAGCAAAAATTCAAGTATTTTAGACTTTCATAAATTCCACATCAAGAACATGAAATCTCCCATGCTAATAGAAAAGATGAATGATTTGAATCAACATTTTATGCCTTTTAAATAATGTTTACATGATATTTTCAAGGATGCTAATGGCTTTCCATAATTGTTAAGAGATAAGTTCAACTAAGGATATTTGTGAAACATCCCCCCCAGAATGAATGATAGTGAAAGATTGTCCTTCATCCACAGGTGTTAATTTATGTGTCACATCAGATTCCTTCAAATGAAATCATAAATGTCAAAACTAAACGATTCAGTAATGTTTCAAATCACATAGTCTATCAAGACCATTTCATCGTTTCAAAAGAAAATGCATGTTGCAAGGTTTAGAACTCCCCTGATAGTCCTTATGAGTTTCTACATTATGAAAGTAAAAGATAAATGTCTGAGCTCCTGTGATATGGCACTTCATGTCTTTTACACTTAAAGGGAATATTGAGGTCTGGAAAAAACGGACAAATATTTTTGAGCTTTTTCGTTCTTTATATGTCAGTGTGGAGGAGTATCATGGAAAAAGTGTACCCTGAAAAGGATTGGTCTTCAAATGCCCTCATATTAGGAATATGACAAGTAGCAGCTAACGGTTGTGGAACACACTTTCATGCCACATGTTTGTGTAGTCCCATATATATACACATTTAGGTGTACAGTGCACATGACTTTTAGCAAGTCTGGGTCAATTTCTTCTTGTTTTGATGATTCCAAAATGCTCACAATATACACAGATATTTATCTGCTACATGAGCAACCTTCCCAATTGCTTTTAGACAATTTCTTTCACAATGCAGTCGCATGACCAGAACTCAACTTTATCTTGAAGTCATATATCATATCAGTTTTTACTATTCTTTTTGTTTATTAACGTACTCAAATGTTTTGCTATGGTCAAGGTTAACATGTGTTAGCTCCTCCCTCTACAGACATTTAGTTAGAAGTAAATATTTCAAAATAGTAGAACTATTTCCTATTTGTGAGAAAGTGAATTTATGTCAGAAAGAATTGCACTTTAGTAGCACTGTTTTATAGCTCTGTGGGTGTTGTGTGGGTTGTAAATCAATGCTTTAATCACTTGTGGTGAGAATTGATGACTTCAGCTTAGTTCATATCTACTTTTGTGCTTTACCTTACTTTTAAGTTACATAATTGGCTCCTAGTTAAATTGTGCCTATTCTACTTGTTCTGACGAAACATTCTGAAAAATCGCAATTTATTGTGGACAATTGGCAATCTATGTGCATAGCTTTTATCCAAAAGGCCGAAATAATAGTGGCTTGTCCAGATTTTTTTGTAAACACTGGTAGCCATGTTCATACATAACGTCCCCAAACTAAGCTCAAACTTTTCATAAAACTTTTCAGTTGTAGGAATATACTGTAGGATCCCCCCCCCCCCCCTTTCAAATCTTGTATGAACTATTCCTAAGCTAGTAGGGGTGTCTTGGTTGAGTGGATATGTCACCAGACTTTGTGGATCACAAGGTCAAGTCCCGCCGCGGCACTAATGTTCTTCGGCAAGAGATTAATCTACATTTGCCACACTCAACCCAGGTGAGGTAAATGGGTACCTGGTAGGATTATTCCTTGAAATGCACTGTCTGCTGATAATGGCTGCCAGAGCTAAAGCTAGGGTAATCATTTTCAAAGCTCTTTGACAGCGCATAGGGACATTATATAATGTGATATGCACTATACAAGAACAGAATGTTATTATTATTAAATCATGCTCTGCTCAACTGTATTTTTCTTTCATACTTACAAAGTTACATCCGTTGAGTATAGCCTCTATGATACCAGCTGTAAAGGCAGCACAATTCAGACTACCTGCATGGTGAGAAACAAACAATCTAAACTTTATCATTGTACAGGGTAACCTTCATGAAGATGTAGGACTACATCGAACATAGTCCAGAATCTGGCCGGTTCTTTATATTATATTCCCTACAATTGATTCAACCCGCCGAATATGGATAATCAACAAAACCCATATATACGCTCACAAGCCCAGCCTATAAGCGCCAGGCGTCCTAATATAATGATCACGCCATCTTCGGCTGGCAGCAAGTAAGTGGGGGAGGTTGCGTTGCTTTGGTGTAGTGGAGATCAAAATTAAATAGGCCAGACCCTGGACTACATCGAACATCTTGACTTTTTTTGCTCACCAACTCATGCTCCAAGTTTTATTTTAAATAAATGGTCACTTGTACATTGACAAACACTGTGAAGAAAAGAAGAAAGAAAGAAAAGATACATGTTGCTTTATTAATTAAGCACTTAGGAATACAAGATTTTACAAAAAAGGGAAAGAAGAAAAGAAGATGGTGCAGGAAACAATTTTGCTAAAAGAAAGTTATAGAATATAAAATATGGGGGGGAGCCAACAGCATCAGAAAATGAAAACGATTTTAATTTACTACATAATAATTTGTCTCCTCCCCCCCCCCCCGCCCCCATTGGTACGCAGAATTCTGAAATTATAAATGCATTACAACACCTCCTTCTCTGACCCCCCTCAACCCGTCTCTTCCCTTTCACCCCTCCCTCCCTCCCCATCCCCCTCTTCCCCTCCCTCCCCCTCCCCCCCCCCCCCCCCCCCCCCCCCCCCCTCCATCCCCTCCTCTCTCATCAATTACAATTCTGTCTGAGAGGATCATTTCTAGTTCTAAAAAAACTGCGACAATACACAAATATCTGGAAGCAATTGCACATTTTTAACTTGACCCCATATCATAAATGTTCTGCTTAGTTCTTTCAGTGACAACATTCATCTTCGGTGACATCGGGGGCATCTGAGATACACAACATGCAGCTTTCAAAAACCTATCAAATAACATTTGGATATATCCTTGGTCTACTACTACGACTTCAAGATGATATGAAGCAAACGCTGCAAAATTCTTGATAGATTAGAAAGAGTTTGGATACATGAGCCTTTAAAGGTTACTGGAATTCTAATGTTGAACAAGTAATTAATCAACATAGAATGACCCACCTTTGTTTTCACTATTTCTCAAATAATCCCTATTGTTGTGAGGAAAGAACAAAATATTACAGAAAATTACACCAAAGTATCTATCTCCTTGTACAGAATTGCAAGGCTTTAAACCACTTTGTCAGACTACTAGGACACTCCACCAATATCAACCAGAGGAAGGCTTTCATCTATTTCTGTGAATGAACAGATGGAGTTTATATCTAGAGGTTACAATCGAAAAGCGGATAGAGGATTTGATCAACAGGTTGATTAGAGTTTCAATGGGTAGATAGCAGGCAGGGCTGATCAGCAATCTCATCAAGGTGCTGATCAAACAGTAGAAGATGTAGAAGTAGAAAGAGTTGATTAAGGAGTCGATCAAGGATTCTAATAAAGGGGTTGATCAAAGAGACAATGAAGAAACATTGATCAAAGTATTAACAATGGACTCAATTAAGTAGTTGATTGGGATGCTTGAGGGGGAACAGAGAGGTGATGAAGTTGTTGACTGAGGGAGTTTTAAGGAGTCAATCACAGAGCAGGTCGAGGAGTTGACCAACGAAAAAATTGATCAATGACTCAATCAAGAAGTGAACAAAAGAATCAATTAGGGAATTGATCAAGGAGTGGAAAAAGAAGTCACTCAAGGAGTTGATCAAGTGTAATTGTTTAAAGAGTCCATCACGGAATTGATCAAAGAGTCTATCTAGGAATTGATCAATAACTTGATTTTATGAGCTGATAAAGAATTGATTAAAGAGCACCAGAGAATACCCAAGGGCAATCCTTTAACCTTACTAAAAGGTATCACAGAGCTTTCGTTTGACTGTGTGTTCCACAATCATTTTGAAGCCTTACCACCTCCTCATTATCCCTGCTTTACAAGTCTGAAGAGAAAGGACAAATAAATTACTCAATGAAGAGTGTATCTCATTCATCAACTCACACAATACAAATACAAAGCCGTAGAAACCTTTCTAATCATTGCATTCAACTAAATTACACAGTGCTGCCTTTAAGTATCCATTCAATGTGTGATTTTTTTGGTTTACACTCAAGCAACTCAAAAGCCTCTTTTCTTCTCATCTTCATTGTTACTCCACAAAGACAACGATTGTCCTCAAATCTGGTGGATCTTGTCTGTTCTATTTGCAAACTGATGACTTCAATAGGTCAATAAGATTTCTATCCCAAGTTGCTTCATCCATTATTGACACAGTGGAGTGTGATATCAAGGGTTCAGTCACACAAAGACGTAACTCCATAGTTTGCCAAAATGAGTATTTGATATAAAAAAGTTCAGAAAAATGCAGGCTTTCCAGAAAACACAAAGACTTAACTCCTCCCAACACCCTATTGAAGTCAATGGCTAGTGAAACACAGACTGAACTCATTAAGGCCCGCTCAGTGACACTTAAACCACTTTTTCTCAAAATGGCCAAAATGGAGTTACGTCTTTGTGTCACTGACCCCTCAATATGTGATTTGGAGGTATTCTTCAAAGTCCCTTTCTCCTGTAAGAGGTAAGAAAGGAAGGTGTACCAAAATACCCCCCTTCTGATACGTCACAGGAAAGATGAAAAGCCGTCTCAAACATCTATTCAAAGCTTTGTCTTCTCTTATTCTTCAAAGAAGAAAAGCCATCTCAAACATCTATTCAAAGCTTTATCTTCTCTCATTGTCCATTATTCAATGAACATTATAATGGGTGGAATAGCCTTTCATTCCAAAAAAAGAGGACCTACCACAAACTTCTGACTTCTGATCTACGAGTTAAGAAAAGGGCATTGCAAAGCATTCAACATCTTTTTCGCCCTAAGATATTGTATTGGAAGGAATATAATATGTATTTAATATATTTCAATATTCTGTTACAATAGGGAAAAGGATATTATAATGAATAAAAAGAGTCACTTGAATGAGAAAAACAGAGATGTAACAAAAATTTGAAAGGTTGGCCCATGATTTCTGATTTTAAATACCCATATGAAATATTGAGGTGATATTTCTCAAATCAGCCTCTGTGAAACTTATTTGCACGACTGATACATAGGGGTTTAAATTAGCATACATGTACATCACTTAAACATTTGGTTTTTACATATGCCTATAACTTGTATAAATTTATATCCCTGGCCACGATTTCATTCACTGTCTCCTGTAAAATATGTTGAATTTCCATTATAATACAGACAAGAAAAAAGAAAAACAGCTTGCCATTATATGTACATGTATCTTGCTATACTCTATATCAGCAAAATCTAAGGAAATTCAAAGAGGGAAAAAAAGGGAAAATGGGTGATGGGGGGGGGGTTCCAAAGTATACACTTATGATTTAGTAAACTTAAGACTTATCTGTTTAATATGTAATGTAATGTAATCATATTTTGTTTGTTTAACTATAAAGCGTTATGTAAATATTAACTATTATTATTGTACGATTGTTATTAGGAATTTGTTATTATAATTATGTATCATGTATTATATTCTTGTAATTTGTAGGTTAACATTACTTTAATTTAATTTTTTGTTAAGCGCTTAGAAACTTTGTATTAAGCGCTATATAAATGTAATTTATTATTTATTATTATTATTATAATGACGTCCAATGGAGAGGGAAAAACTTGATAACAATGTCTGGCCAACATTATCCTGAGCAGCTCTAAAGATGCAAGTAATCTAAGAGAAGGAATGTAATTAGAAGAAGTCTAAGTGAATAAGAACATTTTCAATCGTCAATTTATTAGCCAATTCAACTGAAATACAGAGAGAAGCATAGTTACCCATCACATAAAGGAAATAATACAAAGAGAAGGAAAATTGATGACATATAATTTACATGCTCAAAAGGAGATCCATTGTATTCCAGAATAAGACAGCAAAAGAAAAGTTAATATATTAACCTTTTAAACACAACTGAGCCATTCTTAAGACATGGAACCTCTATTGATCAGTCTTAAAGGTCATTTTATATCTTATCAATGTCTTATTTATTCATCTTCTATTCTCCTCTTCTCTTCTTGCTTGACTCTTTCTCCAGGATGAGAATAAGAGGCCATAGAGCTCACAAGAACCTATTCTATCCAAGGAGGGAGACAGTGCACATGTTTGTTCTACTCCCCATACAACTTGAACACTTTACAGGCTTCATACCTCCAAGACTTTAAATTGAAATAAAAACTTCAATCTTTCCTAAAAGGTTTCTTTTGTTAATTCTTCATCCTTGCCTATCTTTCTGATTAGAATAAGCGAGGGATTGGTGTGTTAGACTGGCAATGAAGAGAAGTCATCCTTTCTTAGTTTCTTGACCTTACATAGTTTAATGACCCACACAGTACCAGACAGAGCAACAAGGAGAGTGTGAGTGTGAGTGTGTGTGGGTGTGGGTGTGGGTGTGTGTGTGGGAGGAGCTATTTGATTAAGAGGCTAGGCAAACAGGGTAGGATAGGATGGGGAAGGGGTGGAGAAGAGTCCATCTGCACCACACCTACCACCAGACCTAAACCGGTCCACAGACTAGGAAGGAGGGAGGGAGGGAGGGTAAAGCAGGGGAAACCACCTACTTCTAGACCTGCAGGGTGTTGTAGTGGAGTTGAGTGGTTTAAACATTCGGTAATGGGTGTGAAGGTTGTGGGTTCCAGCCCAGGCATGACACTAAAAGTATGTCTTCATTAGCTCTAGATTGCCAAATAGCTCGCTATTTCTAATTTGGTAAATTAGCCCAAAGTTACAAATCACGTCTTCATCAGCTGGAGACTCGACCTCGAGAAATTAGCTGAGATATATTTTGCTCAGTGTTTGCGCATAGCGCGAGTCTTCGGGCTGGTGAAGACGCACCGGACAAATAGTG